AAACCGAAACTACTCACAGCCTTAATTATGACCCCATTAATAAACGTAACAGTAGCCTGCAACATAGCACAATTAGGCTAAAGATCTTTGACCAGGACCTAATCTGAACAGCAGCTTACGAACGATTCTGCAAACTCATTGGACTTGTCGATTGCACTGATGCCATAATAGAAACTAATGGAGATTAGATGAATGTAGTCCTACCTAAGTCTATGACTATGGAGGACTTCTAGGATCTATCTGATAGAAACTAGCTAATTTTGATTTATTTAAACTTGATAAACTGTGATATTTTCTTGTAGACAGTGAGGAGCAAGTCCTTGCTGAGCAGTTTTCTCTTGGTAGCAACAAGTTATCTTTAGTAATTACCAGAAATATGGTTCCGCCTTTCTTCTTACCCAATTGATCATATTGGATAAATGCGCTAACATTCGTCAAAACTTAATTTTATGTTCACAATGTCCTTAGATAGAGAGAGAGAGGTATGTCTATTGTACTACTTGGGTCATATATTATCTAGCACATTAGGCTACCCTCTGGCCCAGGCCACACCTTGTACAGTGATCCTATTCTCTCTTGTGACTTGAAAGATCATTGATATATTGGCCGTGATGAATAGCCATTCACCTCAGAAATTACTCGTGGAATTCGGCTACCTTTTCCACGGAACCTTCTACAAAAAAAAAAAAAAAAAAAAAAGGTAGCAATGAAAACTTCGTGCGCGGGAAAAATCTCAAATAACCTACAGCCCCAGCCAGACGAGGCCTAGACACCGGGACCACATGAGGGGCGCATATTCATCTATATCTCCCTTCTTTGTAACAGTCGATGCCGACTTGATCCAATCCACCATCTTCGTATCGGGTGCTGGGTACGCACCGGGAACACATCAGATGGCTTTTCTTCCATGATCAAGGGTTGGTGATGAGTAGGACTTCGACCCCACCATCTGATCTGATCGTGGTTAGCTTCATGATAATGGTGATAGGGAATGTGTTGAGAGATGAAGACGATACAGACCGCGAAAGTGATTGGAAATCCTCATCGAAGTGATAACTGTTATTCAATCTCGGCTCTGCAAGCCCTACAGTGGGAGCTGGAGGTTCGTAGGGGAGACCACTGATAGGTGTTGAGAATATTTTCCCGCAAAGGAATGGGCATACTAAGACAACCTCTATATACGACAAGCGCTTTCCTTTGTAGCCCAGTGAAGACTCAGCCAGGCAACTCACCCTGATATGTTCACGGATAGAAGTAAGTGCTCCCTACAATTTTACTGAGAGAAGTCACCCGATATCACCGGCGCAACAGTAGAGAGAGTTGGTTTTAACTCCCTATTTCGTTGTATAACAGTAAATTTTTCATCCTTATTAGTCCGAACTCGGTCCAGGTATTAGTGGATAGGCAAGTGAGCTTGGTATTGGCTGCGCCGGCGCCGAGTCAGGAAGTATATGCTACACAACGCGAGTAACCACAAAGACGGCTTTCATGATGGTAATTCATGCCGATGGACAAGGAGTATTTGGTTGTAGAAGGGAGTAATGCTTTCGATCTATTCTGTGTATTAGAATAATTGACTTTACTTTCGGCCTTGCTCAGATGTCTACCACCATTAACTGATCCCGTGACACCAGGCCCTTATTTGTTCGAGACTGTAATGTAGCTTACGCAGGCCAGAAGCCTATTCCGAGCAGTCGAAACGGTTACTGCCCGCTTCTAGAGGATTAGAGGCTGTAGCATGTATTTGATCTGCTTTTTGGACAGGTCGGTAAACTAACGGCCGGTAAAGCAGAGTCGACTTAGTCTGGTTGAACATAGGAGCTGTTACCGACGTGTCAAACGAGATCGACGTACTTAACTATTAGACTCATGCTGGAGACGTCTTGCGTCTAAATGTGAAGAAGACAGCCCTCATGAGGTACAACTAGCTGTTGAGGATGAACGATAGGGCCGTCAAAGACTCTACCATTTATTGTGGATCTGGGGTAACACATAATCTCCGCAACCTGCAACCTGGATAGCCTCGCTTGTACCCTAGACTAGACCACAAGCGATGACAACAGAGATTATAAGCTCGGATTACCCTTAGATCGAGTTGGACGGAAAAAGGGACTAGCCTCACGTGCACGGACTCTATGTTCTTCTCGGTGCTAGGAATCTTTATTTAGAAATGCAGGTCTTCAATACCCAGCACGAGCCTAAATATAGAGTATTAGAGATCATATCCTTGGTCAGAAGCATCAACAGATAAAACTCAACTTGGGAAAATAAGTCTTTAAGCTGCTGAGCTATTAATATCCATAATTCATCTTAAACTGCCAGACGAGAGGCAGCCAAGTTTCCTGATACTCGGGCTGGTGGTAGACGAGTAGCACTAGAAGGAGCACGGCAACGGTAAAAGGACTGGCCAAGCTAGTTTTTCGCACAAGTTAATCCAAAATGAAGCTTATGTTCTGTATAAAGCAAGAACAAAAAAATTACGCAGTTAAGGATATGCTAAGCCTTACATAAGCTACTCCGAACTTGGCTACCGAATAAAATCACGTGAAGAATCATTACAAGTTAGAATCGGACGACTCTGGTTCCAACCATACGAGGCGGTAAGCCTGTAACGGCAACAACCTATTGGATGAAAGAATTCCGTGAAGCCAAACACAAATACGGATGAAAATACGTAATTTTGGGCCATTTCAGGCAACAGTTCATTGGAGTTATCTGTAAAATTTACTTATTCAGTTGTCGGTATAAAGGTGTATGTGTGCACAAAGGGTTCTCTCAAAGTTGGGATTAAAACTTGTCGCTCTTCCGTGAACTAGAGGGCGTACCGGCCTCGCCAGCGACGTGGCGACCTGTACAAACTAATTGAGTCTGCAATTATACAGGACAGACTGTTTAAATATAACTTTTCTTTTTCATTCTAATCGGGGATTTCCTTCATTGAATGGTGGGATCCTCATCACTGGTTCACCAGTCGAGCTGGACAAAGTTACATGACTATCTATTGAAACACTACAAGCCCTCAGACTTGACGGATGAGCTTCATGCAAAATTGAACCATGCAGATTCAACATAATAGTTGCGACATAATTTTTAGCTTTTCAATTATTTCGACCTCGAGATACACTGTTCCAACCTTACCAGGCTCGATAGTTATCAATCCCGAGTGAATTATGTTTTGATAGAGAGTTTACGGCAGCAACTCTTGACCGATAGCTTTTCAAAGCATTCTTTTACAATCTTTGTCTTGTGCTGCGATACTAATTAGATGAGGAGTAAATAGGAGGCTAAGGAGGTCAAGAGGTGCCTCAAAATAGTAGCTATATTTTTGGGCTTAGTCCTGAAATCGGAATTAAAAGAGTTCTGCACTCAGTAGTTTTGAGACTTTTCCCTACACCTTCACACCCTCAAATGGTCATCGTTTCGTTGGCTATAGATGGAGGTCTTGGCGGTCTGAGGGATCCTTTAAGTCCGACCTTAAATGGAGGTCTATGGGAGTATTACTACTGGAAAGATATCGTGAAGGAGGCATAAGACGGGGTACACTACCTGAAGTATAGATACTTAGTCTCTAGGCACATTTTATCTACATGCCCTTACTTAGCCATAGAATCAACAGGACAGAAACTATAAAATTGTCGTTGCTCAGGCGATTACAACCACGATCTTGGTTGTCGGTTTTATTTTAATAGATACTCAATCTTCAAGGATACTAAAATTAGGGAGGTGATCGAGCATATGGTCAAAAGTGCTAAATCTCTTTACCACCGTCACAAGTATTCTTTTGTTGAACTGTCAGACTAATCGCGATTCGATATTCTTTAGGCCATTTAGGTAGAAAAAGAAAAAGTCTTCTAATTTACACTGTGATGGGCGATCAACAAAACAATATAGTAAAGGAATGGTGGCCGATTACTGTCTATTTTCTACATACATCTCGGAACTGTCCACCGAGGGGAGGCTAATTAAGGTGTCCCAACTCCCAATGCGCTAACCTCACTAATTGTTCTCCTACACCATATCCTTGATATTCCGAGTAGGCCCTTCACAGTGAATCTGGGTCGTGTCGGCCTATGATTCCATATGAGACTTGCTCCAAAAATATCCTGTTTCCATGTTTGTTGCAACCCTGTATTTGTATGGCCAAGTTGGACAAGTCTTTGGATAGCAAGGCTAATGACGTAATAATGATAAGTGTCCGTGCGACAGTCACTAGGAGATAGGCGCAGCCTGTAACATACACAAGTAAATCTCCGTCCCGAATCGGCTCCTACCTAACCCCGACTTGAGTTCGATGGGAGTGATTAACCTATCATTAATATAAAAAAAGAAAAATAACAAATATAAATCTCAATTGAGCAATTTTTTAGAGGATAGTGAACGACTTAAACAACAAAAATAAATTATCTTGAAGTGAGCCGCTAAAAGGTGCTGCAACTAACTTTGAATACATAACACTTGACCGCCCTTTTCTTCCGGTATTCTCCAACACCGCCCGCTATTTTTAACGCCTGATTTTGTTCGCTGAAAGTATGAGAAAATATCACAATTAAAGCCATTCATTAGCTTTCATTAGCTTGAAACTGAATTGGTTCTGCTGAAACCTCGTGGATTTTTCTTACGTTTTTGCTTGGTATCTCGAGCTGGTGAATTGTTAGCAATTCTAACCTACTAAGTCTTCCACTCTTAGTTCCATCAAAAAATTTAAATCTTCCAATATGAACATGATAATTTGTACCCTAAAACCAGTTATGGCTAGAATGAAATGGAATTGACTTACATATTTTGTATTTTATTTTTAAAAAGTTTTACGCTGAGCGACTGTATAAATATATTGGCGTTACCAAGAGTACGCAACCGCGTAGAAGGGGTCACTTAGTTCTCTTTTAATATTACCAAGTATTATTTAGGACTGCTTAAGTGAGACTTCTGTCGATACTATAAAATATCTTAAATATTCCACTTTAGAATTTATCAAGCGGAGGGTCCAAATATTTGAATGTTCATGCTCTACCAGATAAATCTTTACTTAGTGAGTTGCTATTATTAATTAATTGGTTCTGAGATGCTATTGACCTGAGCGTAGACTCGGCAAATTGATTTTTGCTCTTGCTTGTCGCCTGGCTACTTACTGATCGCGTTATTCCTAAGATATCGAGTCCACTTCCAGACAATTCGAGACTTGAAATTTTTGGTGTCATAGCTGGCGGGCGTGTATCTGTAAGAACCTTATTAACTGGGCTATCGATTCTTTGACCTATAGTGTCGTTCGTAAGGTCAGGTGTCAAGGAGCTTCGGTGTTCTCTTGATGACTTAGCCTCGTCTTCTACAATTCCTGAAGATCAATTAGTCAGTATTTAGATTTCTTCACCTTTAGTGGTAATAATGTAAGGTAAAAATTAATAATACTAGGACACTAAGCGGAGCAGAAGCATTTTTACTATTATTTGATGAGTCCAGAGAATATGAGACGCATTGTATTAAAGAGGATATGACAATTTGAAAAATAGGAGTAGTTCTTACCAGTCGAATTACAGGTTTGATCATCTGTAGCAGGTGATATGCTATCCATGGGTATTTCTTCTCGGGAATTCTTGTAATTGATTGCACTAGGTGGCATACGTGAACTCCTTACTATCTCAAACCCCTTTCCTTTCTCCTTGGTCTTACGGCCAACCAGCCACTTGAGCCAGCCTGAAATAGATGAAGTAGGTCCAGTTGGATCAACTGGACCGGTCTTGATTCTTCTATTAGGTACATTGCTATTGAGTGCTGGACCACGAGCTCTATAGTAGAGATCAACTTCTCGAGTTGTGTAATCTGCCTTTGTTTTCACTATAGTTTCACCTTCCTCATCTGGTGCGGATACCGGGCCGTCTCTTACAGGGTTGGTTGGGTCCTCGATAGTCTGAATATCATTGCTGGAAATATGCTCGAGAGGATGTCTACTAACAGCGTTATCGCTACCCCATGACTCGCGGCTCTTTGCACCCGGAGAAAAGTTGTCCAGAGTCGACCTGCGAACACGTGGTGGCCGATAGTAGGGGTCTGTAATTTCAGACGTGTCAAGTCCTATTGTGGGGACTCGTGTATGTGTTGCTCCAGAACTTTCCGGAACCGATGGTAAAGTTAAAATTTGAGTTTCTCTCGGTCCTGTAGGGCCTGATGTGTGGCAAAGTTCTAGCTGATGAGGCGGCATTGCCCCATACGGGTCCATAGTAGTATCAACACCTAAGTTTTGTCCTGCTAATAGAACCCCAATGCTTCCTCCAGATTGACTTCTCATCCTCCTATTGCTCAAGGTGTCGGAAAACTTTTTATCTGAGGTCAGCATCATAGCACTGGAAAGCTGGCTTTGCCTTGAGGTATCATTACGGCGTGTTAACCTTCTCGATAGTTGCCGCATGCCAAATACCTCAGCAAGCCCACCATTGGACCGGACATCAGGGCGGACTCCCCTAAATCTAGCGACGACTTCCAAAGTAGTACATAGAGCTTTGACAAAGAATCCAAGAATCATGATAGCTGCATGTATTGCAAGGATTGAGTATCCAACCCATCCCTTTTGCTGCTCGTCAAGATTCAGGGATGGGGCGAATGAGAACATGAGAAGAATGGTTACAAGCCTGGCCAATGAAAAGTATGTGTGATAAGCGTTCATTGAGGTGCGAGAAAGAAAAGGTAGGAATCCGTGGATCGTCAATATAAATATAACTTCGCAAATCGCAAGAATAACAAGTTGAGATATACCGGAAAACTGTAAAGCACCAATAGCAATGCCTCTGACAAACGCCAACACTATAGGTATTAGAGCAAATGACGCCGCATCTTCGCGGTAGGTGTTGTATAGTGAACCATAAATAAGGAGAGTGAATAAATCGTCGAATAAGAATGATTTCGGTCTTGCTGATAAAATGAACTTGAGAATCCAAATGGCGAACCCTATTACGAGTACCAACATTAGTACGGCGAGTGCAACGATGTAAGCCTGGGATTTGAGAGCGACTGCAAGTTGGAACAGCGATAAGGCTACTATCGGAAGCAAGAAATAGCTGAAAACTATACGTATTATATTGCCTAGCGAAAATGGAAAGTTTTTGGGGCGTAAGTCTTCTTTTTGTTCTCTTTTGAGCTTTCGTTTAAGCCAACGAAAAGCAAAGCCTGCCTGTGTAATCGTCAAGCCTACGGCAATTATAGCTAGAAGCCACACCGTCATTCCAGTCCAAATGTCCTCGCTTTTTCCAATACCAATATATTGGGAAAATTTATCCATACCATATCCTCTATGAGTGACATATATACCATCAACGAGACTGTTTGGTTTTAGTTTTTCTCCAGTAAAGCTGTGATTGAATAAGAGCGTCGACCAAGCCACTTTACTGACAATAGGCTGGTAATAACCAGGATAGTCGATCGTTAGACCTCCAGTCAAGGCAACAAACTGTACGTACTGCAAACAATCCCCAAAGCTCGGTGTAACGAGTCGCAGTAGATTGGGATCATGTCCAAAGTTTGTACTCGATCGGAATATGTCAACTGTACCCCATGGGCTCCAGAAGGCGGCCAGAGATGTTGCAAAGCCTACAGAAGCTAGGATAAGGCCCGGCAAATATCTCAAGACGTAGTTTATTCTGAATCCAATTTCAGGAGTTATGTTCACTGAGACGCAACCAATTTCTGTAGCTTGAGTGTCACCATACCTCACTTTAAAAGTAGCTGTTAGAGTAGTGAAAGCATATGTAGAGCGGAGATTACGTGAAAATCCAAAAGAAGGAAATTCAGAGGGGCTTGGACTGAATTACATGTCAGTGTAGTTTAAAAGTAAAGCTGATCGAATCATCTTACTTTTTAGGGTTATCAGTGCCGATAATTGGGCCGAGAGGACAAACACCGTTTACAATTTTGTCGCAGAATGGTAGATATTCGTCTATCAGCTGGTAATTCAATATGTTAAGCTTGTTTTCGAGTGTAGTCTGTTTGTTTACTGTTTCTGATAGCGGTACGGCCTCTATTTTCCCACCCATTCCAGTGTCATTGCTATTCCAGTAGCTTGTGTTGCTTGCTGGCGGCAAACTTAGTCTCGGTTCAGTGCCTGCCGTAGAGCCCGTAACGTTCACCCAAACAGTAACGTTGAGGTTGTGGTCTGGATTGGAATTATTTAAAAAAATATTTACGAATTGAGGAACTAATTGAAGTGCTAGTGGTTCATCATGAATAGTGCTCTGCGATAAACAATTTCGGAATTCAACGAATGCTGCAGATGTAGGGATAACTAATATGAGAAGTAGGGAGATAAAAAAACATATATGCGAGCTATTGCACGTTGTCCGATAGAAGCCCATAATGATGATGTGGTGAGGGTTCACACGCGTCGCTGTGGATAATTTCTTGCCAGAATATCGGTTTGCGACAGATTTCATTTGCTCATTCATACATAGTAGCAGATCGGTTGGTTTGGCAAGAGCAACCGAGGTTATTGTTGTAGGAAATCTAGCTTCCCCATTGAACCGGTCATGTTGACGGAATTGATGGTTTCTCCATGTAAGCGATATCGTTTATGCCGGATCATCGACAGAGCATGATTTAGGCTAGTACAAATGTAATTTACCTTCACCACACCATCTAGAGCACAAAAGTAAGCAGAGCTGGCAAAATATTTGGTAACAGAAGATCACCAGATGCAGGACGCAAAACTTCAGGTTGTTCAGATAACATTGTATGGTGTATCGGAAGGCAGCGGACATTGCCGAGATAACTTTAGTATCAAGTGGGACGTGCATCAGCCACAACATGCATGCACGGAAGACTGGCAACTAATATTTCGCACCAGCAAAGGCTAAAAGCTTCCACTGTGACTGAAATTCCACGGTTCAAAGCTTCCAATTGTCTCACACTGCACAGCCCCCGTCAATCCAACCTTAAATTCTGTAGAATGTAGTATGTGATACGCGCCATTAATCTTTTAGGGACAGTAAACCTCTTCGCGTGAGAAAAGCTAAGCTATACAGTATTTAGCGTTAAAATAGATTAATCTGTATTGAATCCCTGATACATGAAGTAAATCCACAAGCGTTGTGAAGATAAATGAGTCATCGAAAGTTTAACCCTTTTCCCCTTTTTGATACACATTCAAGCACAAAAAGAGCTTGAATCTTTTCATCTGTCAAATATAAGTTAACGATTCCGGTAGAGAAACTACTGAATAATGAAAAGCTACATAGTTTGGTTGCAGAAGTTCTCCCAATTTCAGGATACTGCCGGAAATGAAGTATGAATATGGTTTAGATATACAGATGTTTAAGCTACAGTTAGCAACCATCCTAGACGGTTTCCTCAGTATGGCCGGAGATTTGTAAGGTTCTATGACGATTAAAAGCATAGACGGCTAGCTCCGATCTAGCAAGATCCAGCTGCATTGTCAGCGGGGCTTGTTTACGAAATAGTGCTGGCAGTTTTGAGGTGATGAAAGGGTGTCTAATTATGCGTTTGGGGGATTGAGTAGATAAATTTTGATTTTCAGTGCAAACAAATCTACTTTTAAGTCTGCGATAGTCATAGGTTTTGCAGGAAATCAACAGAGAGAAAGATGCATATTTATCGTACTACTTGAGTCATAGATCATCTAGTACATTGGGCTCTTTTCTGACCCAGGCCACACCTTGTACGGTGCTCCTTACCTCTTATGTTCCATGAGAGATAATTGATATGTTGCCCTTGATGAATAGCCATTCAGATTAGGGTTTACCCGTGGAATTCGGCCACCTTTTCCACGGAACCTTCTACCCAAAAATAATAATAAAATTAAAAAAGGTAGCAATGGAAACTGCGTGCGCAGGAAAAAGTCTCAAAAACCCTGCAGCCCCAGCCAGGCGAGGCCTAGACACCGGGACCACATGAGGTGCGCATATTCGTCTACATCTCCCTCTTTTACAACATCAGAGGCCAACTTGATCCAATCCACCATATCCGTATTGGGTGTTGCGTACTGTCATGGTACCAATGGTTCTCGCTTATGGCCTGACCTATAAGTCACATGATTCTCAATTATCCTGCTTAGTTATGTTATTGATGCGAACGCATGAATTAAGCATAAGTAACTGAGTAGTTGCACTCAACAACAGATGGTGCAACATTATATTAATATATTCCTACCCGTAATTCGTCATCATGTATCTCTTATCTGCTCGCGACTCCGTTTCAACGAAACCCACCCGTGGTGGATACGCTCCGTAAACTCACCTGATGGCTTTTTCTCCATGATCAAGGGTTGGTGATGAGAAGGGCTTCGACCCTGCCATCTGATACGATCGTGGTTAGCTAAATGATAATGGTGACAGGGGAATGTGTTGAGAGATAAAGACGTTATAGACCGCGAAAGCATTGAAGTGAGGACTTTGTTATTCAATCTCGGCTCTATGGACTACAGTGAGAACTGGAAGTTCATGTTACGGCTTGACCGTTGTTTGAGCTTAGGAATAGACTTAAGCTTGATACTGAGAATTCTTACGATAAGACTGTATGGAGAGGATATGGAGATTAACGAAACAGCACTACTAATCAGGAGTCTGAACGTTTTTACGACTTAGTGACATCTGGAAATACGTGGCTGGGTGTAAAGCATTGTGCCTAAGGACATGTCACTAGTCTGTAGATTTACGAGGATGATCAACTCTTATAAATACCTGTAAGAAGTAGCTAGAGTTCTCTTTTCTCCTCATGTTGTGGGTGTATTCGCTGACACCACTCAAAACCTTAGTGCTAGGGACTACCACCCTTCCCTCGACCGTTAATATTCACCAAAGGAAAAACTGGAAAAACTGAAAAAACCTTTGACCACCCTAAAATGCCTTTGTTATCTTGTATATAGCCACTACGCGAGATATGGCCTCATAGTCCTCCCTTTATCGAGTGAGGTAGGTGTCCAGGCTACCCAGACTTTAATTCGAGGAGGTGACGACCAGGAGCCGAACCAAAACACCTTCCATCGTTGCCTGTTTTAAGAGTGCCGGCTGCACTATCCGAACTCGGTGCCTCTGCGCCCACAGGCAGTCGTAAGTCGAAAACACTCAAAAAGATGTGTGTCCCAGCATGCCAATTTGTGACCTCTTCACTCATTCGTCTCACGTCCCAGTTGCCTCTCCTCCCTCAAGATGTGAAGCCCCATTGATCAAAGCCCGAGCTTTGTAGTTTATGACTTAATTTCCTCCTCGCAGGTATAAATAGCATCACAATTTTGTAGTGTGAGATGGCCGGTTCTTGATGAGGCAAATGCCCGATTGCGATTAGAGTAACGCCATTATCGGTAGTTGAGGCGAGGTGGTTTGTGGTATGAGCAGGTTGAAGGACTCGCACGACAAAGATAGGTCCGAAATTGATGAGAAGTGGTTGATTTTAGATATACTTAAGGCTGCTTTCGACATCGATTCGGATGCGATTCTTGACTATCCCAGATATGCAGAGCATACTAACCGATTACACCGGCACCACTGGAAGGTGCAGATTTCATCTTTGCCAGCACTACATCCTTCGTAGTGTATCCAAATAGGAAATTAAGGGCATGGGTGTTTACGAATTCGAAATAGTCATATCTTCTAAATTCAAGGCATTTTCACTGTTTTAATTCTAGCTGTCTGAATACTCACTCACAAACACTAACGTTCAATTTAATTTGGATTGATTTCAATTAGCCCGTTCATGTATCTTATGGATCTAAGCAAGTATATTTAGCTATAATATTTACACAGGAGGAAACCAAATTCGGTAAAAACCCCCCAAAACTGTCTGTCTCGTGTCTATTGGTTTTCTGAGGTTTCCTACAGGGAGTGCGTTTACACTGTTTATACAGTGTCAATTCCGTCCTATCCTTGTCCACATCGTCTCATCTTTTCGTCCAATGCTATTTCTACTTCTCCTGCAAGCCGGAATTGTCCAAACCAGCTTTTTTCCAGTATCCATTTTTTTGATTCTCTCCATATCATCTGGGCTGTTCATCATTGCCGTAAATGACCTATCTCTTGCCTTTCGAAGCACTTCTCCTCTTCCTTTTGCCCACTAAGGACACGCCAAGACCATATGTTTGACATTTTGAGATGGATATCCACATCGAAATTTTGGATTAATCACTCGGGGGGCTTTCCTTCGATACAGATAAGAATTGAGACCAATGTGCTCACTTCTTATCTGAACTGCAATACTGCTTTGGGCCCTGATAAGTTGCCAGTGGATATTTGAGGTTGTGTTTCTACAGGTAATCCTTTTTTTGCCTGTTGTCTCATCTGTAATAATATTTGCGGCTTCCAATGTTCAGGGTCTGCCGAAGCTCGATGACAAGATAGTATCTCGTTCCCTGGACGTGTCCATGAGTTTTTCCACTGCTGGATCGCGGCCATCTTACCGGCATCTTTTTGTCTCCCTTTTGCATTCTCCATGTCACAAATTCTGGTCCACTCTTCATGTTTAGATTTCGATTCTTGGCGTGCCTGTTCTCGGTTCTCATTGTGTTCTGCTTGATTTTACTGCATACGGATAGTATCGTTCTCCCGACAGGTAGTCCTTAAAAAAGTCCGACATGTTGGTCCCTCTTTTGTTTCAGGTAGATATCTATCGGGAGAACCGAAGGCTCGTGTTCTAGTACCCTACTGCTGGTGGAGTTATATACCCCTGTAACAAGCTTCAAGCATTTTCTTTGTATACTTCGCAATGGTTTGACTATCCTTTCTGGTATTTTACCCGCTGGCCCAGCTGCAGCCCATATTGAACACCCGAAGTCAGGGCTGGTCTCACTATCGTATTGTAAAAAAACTTTGACTTCTTGAATGTTGCACCCTAAGTTGACTTCGTCAATCTACTTCTTGACTGTACTTGGGTGTGTGACTTTTATCGGATATGCTCTACATGGGAGCCCCATTAGAGCTCGGGGTCAAAGTATATGCCAAGATCTCGAAGGGAAGACTGTAGAGACGTCAGATGTCAGTGTATACTGACAGTCGCTTCCTTGCTCGTGTGAAGTGCATGAGCTGGTACTACCCTGGCGCAAACATCACGCCGTTCCTTACAGCCCATGCCTCGCAGATCTCGCGTTGATCGTCTAATTTCTTACAGTTTTCTTCGCTCCCATTCTATTGTTAAAAAATAAAAATATTTGGAAAATTTTATACAAGCCTCGAGCAACTAATACTTTCACCCGCTTACCTACATATAGAATAATCATCCATGTTTCGCTTTCCAATTTAAATGAAGTCTTCCATCGAAGCTATCTCGTAGCCTTCTTTAATAACTCGATACTACGCGCAATCAGAAATTGTAACAGTTCTTTGCAAGACTATAACTATCATAAGACCACAACCAAGGTCCATTGACCCAATCAACAAGTCGAGCTCTAATAGCGTGAAAAATATGTCTCTTCTATCACAAAAATAATGCACAACCTAGGTTCCGTGGAAGGGGTGGCCGAATTCCACGGGTAAATACTGAGATGAATGGTCATTCATCAAGGGCAAAATATCAATGATCTTTCAAGGAACATGAGAGGCAAGGAGCACCGTACAAAGCGTGGCCTGTGTCAGAGAGAAGCCCAATGTGCTAGATAGTCAATGACTCAAGTAGTACAATAAAAAACACACATACAATGCACAACCTTCTCGCGGAGCATGCGAGACATCGATACACACGCTTTGCCGGGTAGAAAGCATTCTTAACAGGCCGAGCAGCATTTAATACCCTGTTGGAAGTGGAGACACGGAGTGTTGTGGACGTATGGGCTCATCATTTCATCTAGGTTCCCGAAACGATCTTGTGTGTACGTAAGGGGTTGGAATAGGTAATATGGTAGCGCTTCAGGCTACCTATTGGATACATGAGCGGCTGTATGGCGTGGGCGCAAGGAGGTTATTGGGGGTTTTCTATGCCTTGATGGCGCCACACTCCTTTATGCTGTGGCTTAGGCTCTGTGTCACTTACACTTGTACTTCTAGCTTTAATCAGAACATGACACTCTTTTAGTCAACTTCTCCTTTCGTTCCATGCATATTGCGCCCATTACATTGCGCGATATTTCTAACATACTCGAAGAAAGATTTAGTCAGCCATAGAGCCTGGATGAGGAGTTTCACTGGCTTAAATTGCTAGTATTCTCTGAGGCTACCGTTACAGCAACAAACCTTCACCTCACAGTTTGAGAAGTATTCCACACAGCAAAAGTTAGCTCAGAATTTGTCATAATTGCAGTTAGCGATAACACGCAAAGTCAGCTTTCCGTAGGGACATATCCTTTTGATAGCCATGAGTTTTCGAGCAAAGTTACCTACACTTATGTTTCGGTCATGACCCTAAATGACTCTGACTATCCTCATAGTTTCAACGATGCTGTCTCTATGGCTCCTGGTATGACTACAGAGTAAATTTACCGAAAAACGAGCATAAGATGGACTGCATCTTGAAAATCCGTATCAATCATGGCGAGACTAGCACCCGACTGGGCGCCAAACATTTCAAATTAGAAGCTGATCTGCGGGAAATGGGGTTGAGGAAAATAAACCAGCCAGATAAGTGCAGCGAAAATTGCGGATCGTGCAGTGTAACCATGGCTAATGTCACCATCTTACCAAAAGTTTGTCAAGACTCCATAAATCGTCTAATGCGCCTCAATCAAACACAGTAGGACAACATGGAGATTGCCTATTCTTTGATGCAAAAATTTCCATGAGCCGTAAGCAACCTATTTGTCAAACCGAAAGACAAAGCCGGCACTTGTGGCAGGACATATTATCAGACGAGCCCAAATTTAGCTAGCGCTGATCCAAGAACTTGTATTTAAGGATCTGCTCACCAATAATAAGTAACAAAAGACAAAGCAGTGTGTGTTTATTGTACTACTTGGGTCGGATTATCTAGCACATTGGGCTCCTCTCTGACCCAGGCAATATCTTGTACGGTGCTCCTATCCTCTTTCGTTACTTGAAAGATCATTGATATATTCCCCTTGATGAATAGCCATTCAGCTTAGGATTTACCCGTGGAATTCGGCCACCTTTTCCACGGAACCTTCTACCCAAAAATAAAAAATGGTAGCAATGGAAACTGCGTGCGCGGGAAAAATCTCAAATAACCTACAGCCCCAGCCAGGCGAGGCTTAGACCCCGGGACCACATGAGGTGCGCATATTCATCTATATCTCCCTTCTTTATAACATTCGAGGCCGACTTGATCCAATCACCATCTTTGTATCGAGTGCTGGGTACGCACCGGGAACACATCGGATGGCTTTTTCTCCATGATCAAGGGTTGGTGATGAGAAGGGCTTCGACCCTGCCATCTGATACGATCGTGGTTAGCTAAATGATAATGGTGATAGGGAATGTGTTGAGAGATGAAGACGATACAGACCGCGAAAGCGATTGGGAATCCTCGTCGAAGTGAGGACTTTGTTACTCAATCCCGGCCCTGCAGACTGTACAGTGAGAGCTTGCCCGTTAGTCTATTTGGCAATAGATGAAAACTCGCTCACTCACTTAATTACCCTCACCAAATCGAAGTTACTTAGAACCTTGACTATGACCCCATGATTAGTTGTAACTGCAGCCTGCAACATGGCCCAATTAAGCTAGGCACCATTGACTGGTAACTAATCCTAACAAAATAATATCCTGCTTTAATTATTAGTGACCCCAAGTAATTTTTTAGGAATAAATTTCATCCTATGAATATTTTTCTGTCGGATAAGTCTGAGCACCTACTTTACTGGCACGAACGTTTACAATCCTAGGTTATTTTTTCCTTTTACGTTCTTGTACACAACAAAGGTCAAATTATAACGTGAAGTAATGATACTATACAGCTGTTAGACCCTGAAGCTCAAATAAAAAACATTAAGAAGAAGTATATCAATGAAATCTCCGTTCCTCTCCGGCCTTGGTGCTATATACCCACCTAAAACTCTTTTCTGGGTAAAAATCTTCTCCTCGTTTCCCAAAATTACATATGAATAAATGGGGGACTATTCTCAACGCCTGTCAGCGATGTTGCCTACGAACCTCCAGCTCTCACTGTACAGTCTGCAGGGCCGGGATTGAGTAACAAAGTCCTCACTTCGACGAGGATTCCCAATCGCTTTCGCGGTCTGTATCGTCTTCATCTCTCAACACATTCCCTATCACCATTATCATTTAGCTAACCACGATCGTATCAGATGGCAGGGTCGAAGCCCTTCTCATCACCAACCCTTGATCATGGAGAAAAAGCCATCCGATGTGTTCCCGGTGCGTACCCAGCACTCGATACAAAGATGGTGATTGGATCAAGTCGGCCTCGAATGTTATAAAGAAGGGAGATATAGATGAATATGCGCACCTCATGTGGTCCCGGGGTCTAAGCCTCGCCTGGCTGGGGCTGTAGGTTATTTGAGATTTTTCCCGCGCACGCAGTTTCCATTGCTACCATTTTTTATTTTTGGGTAGAAGGTTCCGTGGAAAAGGTGGCCGAATTCCACGGGTAAATCCTGAGCTGAATGGCTATTCATCAAGGGCAACATATCAATTATCTCTCATGGAACATAAGAGGTAAGGAGCACCGTACAAGGTGTGGCCTGGGTCAGAAAAGAGCCCAATGTACTAGATGATCTATGACTCAAGTAGTACGATAAAATACACACACACATACATATGAATAAATTACGTGTGTTGGTGATCAAAAGATCTCAAATTGGAGCTTTGAACATCATGACTATCCTTACCATCTTGAACATCTTGATCGCCATGTCCTTGGTGAGAAATCAAAGCTTGGGAGAGTCAATCCGAGAGGATGTGTTGTCCCAATACCCAATTATTTTGATTAATAGATTCAGTAGGTTTCAAACAATCAGTTGTTTGATACCGGCAGTCTCAGAAAATTGCTAGCCTCGATCCCTGAAGTGACAATAACATCTCTTTAAGCCCTTCACAAATTGTGCAAAAGAATGAAAAATAAAATAAAACCGTTCACAGAATTTTAAATTAGCATTTTTCTACAAAATAGGACCCGTATTCTACAAAAACAAACCCCACGCCCCGAGAACTCCTTTAGTTCCTTTCAAACGTCAAAACTTCTCTATCTCCCAATTAAAAAAGAATTCACTCCGCAATTTGCATCGACACTCCAAACTGCCACGCTTAATTATACTGTAAGCTCCTGTGTCCTGAAACTCCATTTTTTCTCCAATACCAAGATCACTCTATCCAATAAATTTTATACCCAAGCTTTATTCTGCTGTCTCCGATTTAAGTGACCAGCCTTTTTGATAGACTCTACCTCTCTTGACGAAACATAGGTTTTTTTCAATTTATCAGGTTTGATAGGCGATGAATTTCGAGACTGGGCCGATAATTTCCGCTTTCGCATGTTTTTAAAATGCCCAGTAGCTTGTGTAATGATTTTCTTTCTATCATACAATTCACTTGCTTTCGCTGGCTGCTTTCTGGAAGTAGCTGAGCCAGAAATGGTAGCCTGGGATTTCAGGCACAACAATCGCGGTATCTTAGAGTTACCCGAAATAAGGTCTGATGATCGAGCATATGGAATGCAAGTAGACTTCGGGTCCTTGACCCTTGATGCGGAGGATGTCAGAATCCGTTCAGACAAGAGGAGTGTTGAAATTTTTGGTCTTGGTATTCTCGAATATTCACTATCTACTACTGGATCATTTGCCTCGGTGATAATTGGCACTCTTTCTATCCTGTTTCTGATTCGCCTGCAATTTTTAAATTTTCGGAACTTGAAAAATGATGCTCCACAAGTATATTTCTCAGTTGAAGGATTCTCTAGTTCCAAACGACACATCGGGTTCGTAATTAAGTCCCTACATGTTAACAGTTAGCTGATTCATAACACCCACAAACCAGTTTGACGGCGAAACTAACAATGAACTGTCGGATTCATTCATCGTTTGATTCTGCTTCAAGTCCCGCTGAGCCTTAGGTTCATACTTTGTGGACCGGGCCCGGTTGTTATTTGAACAAGGCCAGAAGTTAGAAAATGATGGATCAAGGCGTCTTTTTAGCGGATTAATTTTTTTTCATCATCAAAAAGCATCTTTCTATAGTGGAAGATTCGCTCCCAAAAGAACTTTTCCTCCATCTTATTCATCTGTTCTGTAATTTTATAATTAACTTGATGAAGAATCCTCTCTACCGTACTATTTTCGGCTCTTGGTAACCGTATCAGATGTTTCTTATTCGTTTCGACGAGGTTTTTGGTATACGAATCAATCATTTGAATCATCTTGCTCTGCTATTCTTGAGGGAACTTACCAATGTAGCACATGAAATAGTAGCAAAACTCAATACCATACATGTATAGTCCTACTGCATCAAATCCTTCGAACAAATCTGGCAGTGAAGTAGGTGGCCTCATATGACGAACGTTATCTACCTTAAATTCTTCAATGAAAAAGATGGCGGCCTTCTTCGCCTTTCTCCTCACGTCAATATGATCAAAAGGACGTGGGAGATCTAAAAGGCTTGTCGGCCACGTTTTCTTTTTCAAGGTGCCCAACTGGGTCTAGATAACGGCAGTTTCATCAAAGGATGTACTATTGAAGAATCTGAGTGGAGCTCCAGTACCAACAATGTATGGTCCCTCCGGCGTGTTGATTAACTCGGCTGGATAAGGACGAAGAGAGCTTTCGGCACTCAAAGCCATATATGAATAAGGGAACTGCATGGCGAGATACATTTTTCAAGTTTACAAAGAATGAATATTCTAGAGGATATCTCAGGAAAACTGGACCTTAAAAGGCAACTATAGATTGTAAGAGACTTGGATTAACATATAGATCAGGTTTTTACGATAAAATTACCTTTGTGAGTGATTTTCTAGTCGCGTAGATAGATATCTGTATGGACTGAAGTGTAAAAGGGGCTATGAATATGTAGAATTTATGGTTTGCAAAGATTAGTACAAAATCATTATCCGAGGCACGAAGAGATTCGGTTACAGTCTCTATCACTGAATTTATCTCTGGTTGTAAGGTACTCAAGTAATCAGGCTCAGAGTTTATAATATGGAGCTATGAAGTTTAATAGAAGGATAATGGAAGGTTTAAAAGTTATTGTTTAAGGTATAAGGCTAAAAGGTTAAAGGCTAAAGATTATAGTTTAAAAAGGTTTATAAAGGCTTATATGAGTGTCTTTGTGGGGCTAGACAGTTGGTTGCGTGATGGAGTAATTGATGGTATGTGTGTTTGTAACTGATCCACAAATGATTAGCCTTCCAATCATGAAAAGATTTACCCGTGTATTAAGATTTCTAGGAGATATCTTACTATAAGCTGTAAATACTTTCAGCTATCCGATCCACTGGTGGTAAGTGTATCAATTGATATAACAAGTTTGGGTGAGTTTGATGAGTTGTGGGAAGGCGATTCGGTGTAAAAAGATGAGAGCGGGTTAAAGTTTGTCGAGCGTAATAGCTCGGGGAAGTATTCAGCTAGAAACTGAATCTCTAAAGCTAGAGTCGTAAAGTTGGACAGTGATTATGATTGTGAGTAAGATTGCGAGCATATGTTTAAGTTAATTCTGAAGGTGTGTCGCAAAGCTGGTGAGCGTTGTTCCGAAAGTTCTGACCTGTCTATGTTAGAAAAGATAGAGAACAAAGAATGAGATGGGAGCGCCTTTAATACCCATCATTTTCGTAATCCACTAGGACAAAAATGGGTTGTTTCGTAGAGCAATGTTCATTTGACATATGCAAATACATACGAATACGTCGAAGCTCCATAACACGGGGACATTAGATTGGGTAACTGGTGTTTATTGGCTTGTACCAAACAAAATACCCCATTATTGCAAGGATAACTCCTATCAAATGATGAAAATTAATATATTTTCTCGCTTGACAGACGATGGAGCGAGATTCTAGGTCCATTACAAGCCATAATTATGTTGGAGTTGATGAGGACCACCCCTATCTTTGTTATGTGCTTCGTATCATCTGATATTGTTCTCACGGGATAGATGTCGGAATTCTTCAGAAACAATACCATGGCGATGTTTAATAGTTCATTACTATATAGCTCTTTCATGGATCGCATAGAATTTAGTCCTCTTCCGAAAATCTAGGACTAGCAAATTAAAGGTTCAACAGTTCGAGAGAGTCTTGTTCTTGCGTGATGGTTTCAACTTATGCGTCGCATGTGACAATTGCCGATATTCTCTATTGGAAATAAATCCAATCACCTGACTCTTGTCAAATAGATATAGAGTGAACTGTCATAGTAGCTTAAATGATGAGTGGTTGTATAGGTTGCGTGCTCCTTGATTTGGTCATCACCATTGACGGGTCGCGCCTTCCTCACTTGATCTGAGTACTGGAAAGATCAAGAGTACTTGCAAACTTTGGTCAATATTTCGTATGGTACAGATAAGACTAAAGAATTATGTCCATAAGTTTTAGCGCCCATACTTTTTGACGATCAGCTTTCAGCTTTTTTGCTCTTAACATATAATCTTTGATATGATATTGAACTATCCTTTTTATTGACCGTGATATAGATTCTCAGTAATTAAGACGTGAGTCCCATTATAGTTGTTAATTATCATGTATTTTCTTGCAGACATATGTTACAGATTCCTACTAAAATGATCAAAGTAAAATTAAGTTAATGTTTTGAAACAATTACTTCCTACTTTAAAATAATGATTTCTACTTTGATGTAGTTACAGCATCGTAGGTGAATAATGACTAAAATACAATCTGCGCCTAAGTATATTTTGAGGATGTCGGACTCGAGTGATATGATGATAAAATAGAATCTTTTCTATTGACAAGACTAAAATTATTTGTTTGAATAGTATCCTAAGTATCAATCACATTTCATGTACATAACAATATTGTCAAATACTTATTTCATGGAGAAATTAAGGACCCATGTATTTTTTCGCCTTTTGCTTCGAAATTCATGTTCAAATTTTCCTAAATTCTATGATGACTTCTAGATATTGCGTAAATATGACTGGCTGTCGATTGGCCTTATTTTACGTACACGTAAGGTTAGTTCAATGCAAAACGAAAGGTACGAAAGTTGAGGTATTCATTCTTGTTGTTCTTCTTTCTATCTATGAACACTGCGAACGTCCAGTTCGCGGTGTTGGCTGAGTCATCAAGACAATGACTCAGCAACAGAGAGACGCACTGCACAAAGCGCCTAGTAAAAGACATACATTCCAACACTGGCGAAATTATTTGAAAAAAATAAAAAATAAAGCGATAGATATCTCTTTCTTGATGGTTTGATATGTTGTGTTATGTTGCATGTTTAATATGTCTTACACGATTCCTGCATTTAAAGAGCATAACAGGAGATAACCCTGAAGGAATCAATGCTTATTATATGTCTTATTCTTTGCAAAAAGAAACAAGATAGCGCAATATCAAGGCCTCGTCCCCTGCGCCCTGTCTAAATTTTTGATCTTTTCCCAACAAAGACAAAGGCCGAAACTTTCTCGAAAATTATCTATCCCAGCATACCCTTCAATGAATTTTCTTCTCTTTAGTTCCCTATTGTAGCTATTTACTTTCACATGCTATGGCTCATACTTTGTATACTACAAATTACTTTTCTCTCTAAGGGTTTCTATAGCTCATTAATTTTAGAGTGGAGAGTAACCGATGATAGATGGGGTAATTCCCAGTCTTGATTTTGGCCAGCTCCTTGTACGTTCGTTGATGTGAGTTTGTTACTGTTGAGATTGAGTTGGAAGACTGGTACAAGAATGGTAGGGCCCACTTTGATGAGAAGTCGTCAGCTTTAGAAGTGCGTTTGTTCGCTTTTGACCTCGGTTCGAATGCAGTAATTGTTTGCTATCTAAGGAAATAAGGAACTGAATATTTATGACGGTAGCGATGAAAGATGAATAAATCGCCTAAATGACCTATGTCTCGTCCTGGTTCATGCATGACATTTTTCGTACAAAAATGAGACAGCAATTCAGTAAAGAAGCTGAAACGTATCATAAATTTTGAGAATTCAAATTACAACCTGTCAATCCAGTTCTTGGGAGTCTGAATAACCCTCGTTTAATTTCAAGTTCACTTCGCCCAGAAGATTTTTGAATTTCAAAATTTTCATAGTTTATTCATTACGAATAACTCGGAGCAGTTGTGACGGGCTAGGACTTTCGGCCAATGCACGAAAGCAATGCCACAATTAAATGTTTATATTTTCTATGAGGAAATTACGAGCGGGAAGCAATGGCTCTTTATAACTACAATGCCTGTTCCAGATACCCTTGCCCTTTACACGTGATCTGATAAAACTCCCCTATAGTGAGAAGATTTACAAACTCGCTTGAGCCTTCAAGATAAGGATGGGCCCTATAGCCTTAAACAGCCCAGCCAGAACCCAGCCGGGCCTAGCCCGTAACAGCAGTTGAGCATTTACACGAGAAAAGTATGAGCCGATCTTCACTTTTCAGAAGGAATCTTTGATGTTGATCCGAATGCATTCTTTATTGCAACTGTTGCGTGGTAGGGGATGATATCGAACCAATTACTCGGCTAGATAGATCCGTTAATTTTCAGAAAAGATAGAAACTTGGACAGTTTAATCCACAGATTTGTTAGATTATACAGCTTCACTTTGATATAGAAACATCACATGATTGAACATTTACTCTTCAGCTTTTAACGTTGGTCTTCTTGTAGCGGTATTATGAACGGTATGAGGTTTTGTCTCCATCCGATATAGGTTGATTGGTGTCAGGTGATAGTTTGTGTAATTTTCTCACCTTGACAAGACGTTGAGTTGACATGTAACTTAGGTCTTTCTAGCTTCAGGGGAGTTGCAGTCTCGTGACGATCCCGAATGCTGAGTATATAATCATGTGATTGTTTATCATATGAGTTTTAATTTTTGGAAGCCTACCAAGTGTTGAGAAATATTTCTATTTCTTAAGTGCCAAGTGCGGCGCATCTCTCCTTTGGTGAGTAATTATCCTGATGATTTAGTCAATCCCATGAACTCCACGTTCACAATGTCCTTAGATAGAGAGAGAAGTATGTTTATTGTACTATTTGTGTCATAGATTATCTAGCACATTGGGCTCCACTCTGACCCAGGCCACACTTTGTACAGTGCTCCTATTATCTTTTGTGACTTGAAAGATCATTGATATATTGCCCATGATGAATAGTCATTCGGCTCATTAATTACCCGTGGAAGTCAGCTACTATTTCCATGGAAGTTTCTGTGCAAAAAAAGGATAATAGTTCAGGGTCTGACGATTTCACGGATCCATAATTAGATTTTTAATACTAATATTAATTCGTGATAAGATGAAGGGGTGGTTAATTAAAACCATCAAGTTAAGAATAGCTTCCCCTATACAATTAGTCATGTAAGAATTCGTGTAAGGATATACAAGAGAGTCATAAGAGAAGGGCAAGAACACAGTCATGAATGCGAAGATATTGGCAAGAATTGAATACTATTAATTCCGACTGGCAAATGCTTCTACTCTTGTATATAATAGTTCAGCTTGAGAGAGATTTACTCCTCACGCAACTTCTTCTTTCCTTATCCTTTACAATGTATTTTTTTACCCAAATCTTTTTCGGGAAGACTATCTATCCATTTTCCAGTTCTTAATCAGCAAGACGCACATGTCACATCTACCGTAACTATTTGCTTATTCGTCTCTTCTTAGAGAAGACCTGTTATACTTTTGACCCATTTATTACCTTCACTTACCACCTAGATCTTCATTAGGCTATACAACGCACCCCGTGGAACACTGTCAAACCCTCATCTTTGAGAGTTGGCCCTAGGTCCAAGTTTTTCTTTTGGTCGTACAGCTGGCGCAAGAGGGCATGTTCTGGTACTACAGCCTCTTCTCTTAAAACGAAAACACAAATTATTTTCACGGAGTCTTTCAATCTCACTCGGTAACTTCCACATTGCTCTTCGGTGTTCGCTTCCAGAACTTCGTGCAACGCTTGATGCCATGATTCCACTTATGAGTAAGTCACCTGATGCGTCCTATTCTTCTTGCTGTTGATAGAAATCCTGTGATCCAACATTGTTCCTAAGCCCTGCCCCCTAGTAAAATGTGCCCGGGGTTTCTGCTGATGAAATCAGACATTGAGAAGGTCGGTGCCTTGAACGTGCTCCAATCATATCAAGCTGCTGAGAAATTTGGCCAACAATTAGGACTCATTCAGTATAGTCACCTTTTGGAAGCAAATGGTTGCCAGCAAGTGCTTTTAACAGACTATCATTAAGAGCATTCCGGAGCATAACAATTTTGAACCGATCAGCCCACCTATCACAATGAGCTTTGCTAAGTTTGTTCGCCCACTCAGTAAAAAACTCGGCCAAAATTGCCTTTTCCCCATCTTTATATCATAGAGTTTATTGGTAGCTCTATCAATTCGTATGGGTTCGTAATTTGTCCTATCAAGAAGCTCCAGAAAATCTTCGGGCTTCTGTATTCTGTTGATACCCTCAACTTCGAAAACCGCAACAGCTTTTCGCTGTACCTCCCCCCTTAATGCGTTATATATGTAAGGGTTTAATGAATTCAGATGTACTTGAAAGACAATAACTCAATAGGAATTAATAACTTGTTCCTTGGGAAGACCATCTACCACGTATTCTCCCATACGTTATATGCTCTGTGTAGATTAGTATTAACTCCCTCCATTGGCCACTTGAGAATCATCCTTTCTCCCGGCACAACTCTTCTCCTGTATCATACTCCCCATCTGGTGCGTATCCCCTTAGCGCTCCTTTCGTCTATCCAGTAGCGTTGCCCTGCCACTACCTTACCTCGGAGACGGAGTGGTCCTAGTGACCAGTCACAATCCGGGTAGAGCCCGTCACAATATATCATTAAAAATGCTCTTTTATAATCGTAGCTGAAAGTATTCCAGTCCATTCGAAAAATGCTTAGGACTACTCGCCTCCATACTAGGTAGCTCTGCCGGTTTCCCTCATAGATTGCCAGGTTTGTTGGCTTAATTCCTAAGACATTGTGGACTGCTGAATTTTTAATAATAATCACCTTCGTGGAGGTTGTCGGCACGGCGTTAGCCTCTCGCTCAGCATTCAAAGCATCAATTTGTTCTTGCAAGTGAGAAATACTGAGTTCGTATCTAGTATTAATTTCTTTTTTTTGTCCCAAGTCTGATGTCTTTATGAAGCTTTGTATTGCTTCAACTACTGGGTTCCGTCACTGAGTGCCAGTCTCGTCTTCATCATCGACATTGCTTAACGCTAGGCCTTTCGTCGTTTTAGGAGTTCAGTGATCATTGATCCTCTCCGCGTTGGTCGTCATCTTTCGTTGCAGACTGAGCTGCTTCCCTTTGTCGTCTTTGTACCTAGTGAGCTCAGCCTCACTTTAAATTCGTCACTTTAGGAAGCGGTATTAAATAGAGAGAGATTTATTATAGGTCAGAGATCTGGGGATAGGTGCTAGAGCAGCTATGCGGTTGATGGTAGTAGAGAATAATTCTAAGGAGAGGACTACTACCATCAACCACGTAGTTGCTCCGGCACCCGTCCTCAGATCTGAGACATATAATAATTCTTGGGAGAGAACTACAGGATATATCTACACATGTATATATACAAGAGAGCCTCATTTTATACGACGTCATTGCACTATCAATTGAGGAGGTTGTGACCGATCTCGTATATTCCCAGCTGATGGCTTCTCACCAAAGAGTGATGCAGTGTTGGGCTACACTGTTGAATCGAATGCTATGCATATTCCAATGCTCAGATGTTAGATCGATCGATCGTGCGCACCCTAAATCGGGCCAGTTCTGTGTTAGCAAACATAGGCTACAGGAACAATCCGTCACACGCTTCAAATTTAGACTCTCAATGCCTGGAGCTTCTTTATCGCACTTGTCAACGATTTTTTTGTGTATTAATGGATATTTTGTTCTAAAAAAGAGACACAAAATTCAGTCTAATCAGATATTAAATTATAACCTGATCCGAGGTCTAAGTTTCAGGTTATATATTCTAAATTTGTGACTCTCTTCTAGCTGGTCTTTTTCCACGAGGTTAATATGTGAGCCTTAAATTTTAAACGGTTTTTTCCATGTCATTTCTTTCCCAAATATACCTTGACGAAAGCATGAGGAAACTAAATCGTAAATGTAGAGCAGACGGTAAAAATCGTAGATGTGAAACAGATATTACTTGTGATTTCAACCTCTGGATTGCATCGTCGACCGCTTCTATGTCACAATCATAAGATATGTACTGATTCTCTGAAAGATCAATCTGTCTAGTTTCATCTGTTGGAAATAACATTATCTAGGGCTCGAGTACAAGCCTTTGAATTATTATGAACTTCGGTGAGAACTTTGCCAATACTTTAGCCCGGAATCTATCTTCCATTATTTTGGATTGCTTAGCATCACGAATTTCTTCGATGGTCCCTGTATACCACTTGGAAAGGAATGCTCCGTACGGAAAATTGCCTTCTGTCCATTCACAGCGAATACATATCCAGACTAATACGTAGAAGAACGATTCGAGGTCATGGCGATATGTATGAGTAACAACTGCGTCCATTTCTTGAATGCTGGCAGTTAGGATTTCTAATGCCATAAATTCCATTGTGCCTGTAATCACTCAGGCTTTTCCATGTTATTCACCTTCATAAAATGAAGTTACCAGGCCCAAATCGATCAGCAGACCACCGAATTCCTCGTCATCTTTGAACTTGGTCAGTAGTATATTATTCACTGAGATGTTACAATGAAGAATTTTTGAATCGAGGAGTAGAAAGATGCGCCTTGATAGCATCTTTAAGCCCAATGACAAGTTCTTGTACCGATTCGAACTTGTGTATCGGTCTTCCGTACGGCGATATCCCCGCAGTGGTGAACTGGTGTTTTCGTGGGACTGACAACTTCGCATTCACTGTCGGAACAGCTGGCGTACCTGCTTTTTTTGATTCCCTTGAATCGTTCTTTCCAATGTTGGTAGATAAGCCTCGTGGATCTGGTGTTATGGCATAGTGCCCGCTTGGTCCCGCAGCCTTCTGGTTTATAACCGGTCCTGCACTACTTGTAAGCTAGATTTTTTCATCCTGTTGTTTACCTCAGCATTTTCTGTTGTCTCGCGTTTGTCGCCGATGGACTGGTTTCCAGGCTGGGCATAACTTTGTGAAGGATTCGGGCTTCCACCCATCAAGTTCATGGATACCCTCTATTAATGGTAGAAAACTCGGGAAGAGATTTTAGTTCGATGGACGGTTGTGTCGTACATTTTGCTACGTTTCTATTGTTAAAATTTACGTTAAAAAAATAAAAATATGCCTTACATCCTCGAGCTGATCTTATTTTCTCGTTAGAGCCGACAGTTTCTTTTCCTGAATAGATTGCCTCGCTCTTTCGCTTTCGCGCCAATTAATTTCTCAAGCTTTCCCTAGGTATGACCCTTGTCTGTCCACTAAACTCGAGTGGCGTTGTCATGGCTTTTTTGTCCGGACTGGTCCATTTCACCACTGTCTCCGCGAATAACAAATCCTTTCGAAGCTCACTCGTCTTTACTAGATCAAGTGATCCGATAATCTTTGCCATTCCCGGTATGTTATCCGCCTCTTTTACGAGATCCGCCTCGGAATTCTCTTCATATTTCCCCAAAGAGAGTAAAAGGACGCAGCTGCTATCATTAGCTTCATAGTATGTTGTTCCTCTTGAGAGATGTGCTCTCCGCTGGAAGATTGGTTGAGAATTTTGAAAAATCTCGTAGAGTTCCTTCGATCTAGGCACCTGCAAGTTGACAATCATCTAATCGGTTTTGTATTTGAAATAGGTGCTGTTGTTGAGACCGTGCTCTTCGTCGTTCATTAAAATGTACGTGACCAGAACATGAACAAGCGTTACTGATGACTTTCTGATGTCAATGAACGAGCATAAGTACGGTCCCGACCGATCATAAACCCAATGCTATAGGTTCTTCTCGAAAAGGATGAATCCATGTAGAGATTGGCGGAGAGGTCGAGCCGCAAACACTTCACGTATGTAAATGTTGAGTTGTAGAAACTTCTCCAAGGAGACGTCCGTCGTAGATTTAGTAAGCTCTCCAACAACAATGATATCACGCCAGTGATGGGGATTTTCAGCGGGCAGGTCACTGCTTTTGATACAATAATCAACTTGGTTTTTAGACTGGCTTCCAGTAATCTGTCCTACTGCAAGAGTGTAGAATTGAGTTCCCGTGTAGGCATTTCCAAATCGTGTTCGAGTTGAGCTTTCTGCATCTGTCGTTGAAGTATCATTAAGATCACCAAGTGAACTGAATAGGTCGTCTTCTATGACTTTTATCCATTCCCAAACATCGGCTTCGTTCGGGACGTTGGGAAACTTAAACTACAGTTCCAAAGAACATTCCAAAAAGGTTTTGGTAATACTATCACGCTTCTTGTCCAAGCGTAGATTTTGAGAATAGTTTTTCCTAAAGCCAATCGTATTGAAAAATATGGACCCATTCAACTCCCGTCTCATAGCATTTTTCAAACACTCCATTGTCCGTGGAATCACTTCGCGTGATTCTAATACCCGCCTGAACATAGGTTTGGCAGCTATATTCTTCAGTTCGGTATCTGTAGCCACCATCTTAGCCTCTAGTTTATCAATCAAATCGTTGAGTGAGTTCAAAATCTCAAGCTCAGTCGCCTGTTTTAGAATCAAGGTGACTAACATTTCGAATGGAGCTAGATCGTATGACACAATTTTCATCCATTTAGCTTCTCTCGCCAATCGAGCACATATATCGTTGGTCTGGACTTAATCCGAACATTATTGTACTACTTGAGTCATAGACTATCTAGCACATTAGGCTCCTCTCTGGCCCAGGTCGCACCTAGTATGATGCTCTGATCCCGTTTTGTTAATTGTAAGACCATTGATATACTGCCCGTGATGAATAGCCATTCATCTCAGTATTCACCCATAGAATTCGGCCACCTTTTCCACGGAACCTTCTACCCCGAATAACAAAGATTGTAGCAATGGAAATTGAGTGCGCGGGAAAAAGTCTCAAAAAGCCTGCAGCCCTAGCCAGGCGAGGCTTAGACCCCGGGACCACATGAGGTGCGCATATTCATCTATATCTCCCTTCTTTGTAACATTCGAGGCCGACTTGATCCAACCCACCATCTTCGTATCGGGTGCTGGGTACGCACCGGGAACACATCGGATGGCTTTTCCTCCATGATCAAGGGTTGGTGATGAGAAGGGCTTCGACCCCACCATCTGATCTGATCGTGGTTAGCTTCATGATAATAGTGATAGGGAATGTGTTGAGAGATGAAGACGATACAGACCACGAAAGCGATTAGGAATCCTCGTCGAAGTCAGATCTTTGTTACTCAATCTCGGCTCTGTAGACTCTACAGTGAGAGCTGGAGGTTTTTAGGGGACACCACTGACAGTTATTAAGAATAGTCCCCCAATGTTGACCCTGTGTTCATACGCTATACTCATATTCTTAGTGGATACCGAGAGCAGGGACTCATTCATCGTCAATAGACCTATTGTTATTTCATCATGATGTCTGAATATGTTAACGTATTAGGTCATTGGTACGCTCGGCACTGCTCTAAGAACTTCAGCTAGGGTAAAATTGGAAGATACCAGATTATGACCACTAGGTGTTACGAGCTCGTCTCATTTCAGCGTCTGAATTAGTGGTCCTTTTCTTCATTGGAATTATGATACAACCTAGGTTTTAGATTACGTTTAAAGTAGTGACCTGCCTCTGTTCGTAGTGTACACGAATTCTTACATCACCAATCCTAGCTTATTCACTTGAAATTACGTTGAAAAATCACAGCAACCAATCAAATTTTTTTCAAATTTAAACATACGCAAATTTTAATTAGCTTCACAGCTATGGATACCAACCTGGCTCTTAACGTGGTCGGCAGCGTCAAATACGGGTAAATTTTCAATCTATTAAACACCAGTGCACGGAATTAAACCTCTATATGTATTTAACGTCGTGCCACACCACATCATTACTTTAGGTCTATTTTTGGCCAGCTTAGTCTACATAAACTACCTGTTACTTCATTCTTGGGCCAAGACCTCCTTGCCGTGCGACCCAAAGTAGCAAAGGACGTCAAAAGTGCTCTTCCACTGTAACTTTTGATCTTCAGTGAGGTACAGAAGATCTTTGTCTGTGTTAACAAGGAAAATTATCTACCAGCTACATTAATTACATACTAATAAAGTCTGTTGAACATTAGTGGAATAGAGTAAAGGTTTGTGTCGATGTTGAGTTTCTTTCAAGACGCTAGTGTCATAAAGTGTTGGAAACGGAGATATAGTATCTGGACTTATGGACCATTCATTTTTTCTAGGTTCCTGACTCGATTTCGTGTGTAGTTAATGGGTTGGAATAATGATATGGTAGCGCTCTACGTTGCCTAATGCACATATAAGATGCGGTATGGCGTGGGCACAGGGAGATTGTTTGGGGTTTTCTATGGCTAGATGGAGCCACAATTGCTTGCTTTGTGGCTTAGGTTTGGTTTCTTTCTATATTAACGTGTTAGACAATTGGCAACCTCTGCACTCCTATGGGTGCCTCAGAACGATTAAAGTCGAGGCGGAACGGGTTAACTACTGTAAAGTACAGATGTCTCATCCGACCGAAATGACCGGAATCATTGCGGTCCGATTTTGTGTGCTGAATCACGAGTCTAAAGGCCCAGAATAAAAAAGGAAATCTACACGCGAGATCCCGCAGTACAAAAGAAGATTACAAAAACCTCATCATTCCAACTCTCCGCCTCAGCCATCACGTACTCGAGCCTCCTCTCACATGAAAATCAGTTTGATTATCATAACCAATGGCGTCAATGGCCGCGTCATTGAAAGCTCTGTGGAGTTGGGACCGCGCTTTGTGTTATTGAGTGGTAATGACGCCAGTCATTGCACTCTCCGGATCATTCATTGTGGCACAACCGTTTCGATAGAAAGTGTAGTTATATCACATCAAAGCCTAATGCATGGCTATTCTAGTTTTGTAAACTAATTACGACCCTCGTACCAGCTAGCCAGCCTCTTCGAACGCATCAGAAGGGTCATTATGTCTTCGGATTAAGTCCTAATGTCGGTATTAGGAGAGCTCCGCACCCAGTGGTTTTTGTGATTTTTCCCGGCTGCCATACACCCGCTAATGGCCATCGTTTCGTTAGCTGGAGAGGGGAGATAATGAAGGGCTAAGGGCTCCTCTTAGTGTATGATCGAATGAGGACTTGTGAGGGGTGGTACTGTTTGAGGGGAGCTGTATGGGAGGCATAGGAGGGGATATACTACTGGTCTAGGTATCCTTGGCCTGTAGGCAGAGAGGACCTGCATGTCCTACATAGTCATAGACTCAGACAGGACAATAAAATGAATTAATAATAATACGACCCTCGTATGATGTATACGACTCAGCCCGAACCACCTAATTTCGACGTATATTGATGTGGATTTTTGAATTCGATTTTATTATCCTGATTTGGCGCCCTATGGGCCCATACAAGTGTCTACAATCTATAATATTTACACGAAGGAAACCTTCATGGTGAAAACCCCCTACACCTTCCAGCTTGTTGTCTTAAGCTTTCACATATTTTCTTCAGGAAGCGCAATTACACTACAGTGCCATCTATGTAAACCAACCAGATCATCTCTAACCGCCCCAAGCATTTCTTGACCTGTTCCTTTCCCTCAGCAGTATTTTAACCGCCTTTGTCATCTGGAATTATTCAATCCAACCACGATTTAGGATCCACTGTGTTATCCTTTTGACGTCTCCAGGATTGTCCATCATTGCTTCGTAGGACCGATCTTCGGCTTGTCTCCGGATCTCTCCTCTTCCACTTGACCATCGAGGGCAGTGCATAACCATGTGCTTGGGGTTCTACGATTGGCAGCCACATGGACAGCTTGGACTTATGACTCCGGGTACTTTTCTTCTATGTAAGTACGAGTTGAGCCCCATGTGCTCACTTCGTAATTGCATCGCTAGACTGCTTTGGGCACTTCAACGTCCTTTATTATTTTTAATTTCTCAGCCAGGATGGTCCGATGCCGAGAGCTAACCCAAATTCTACTACTAACGTTTAAGGTCTAGTGCGCTGAGAATTTGGAACAGGCGAGATGCATCAAACGCGGGGAAAGCCTGTGCATACGCCTTTCCTCTAAGGAGCGAAGAATCTTCTACACCTTTGTAGAATAATCCGAGAAGTCTTGGCCAATATTCTATGAGTGGTGAATCTGGTGGTAAACGCGGGAATGCTCAAGAATCATCTAGAGAATGCACACTTCTAGACTTTTCTACCATCAGAGCGAAATGATTCAAACTATTATAAATGACTCACAGGATCCTCCCGAGCGAGCAGATACAGACAACCACCCCGCAACTTATTCAGGCAAAATACCGAATTAGAGCTTCTTTTTAATTAAAACCAATCATTCGGAAATCATCATCCAAAATGTCTCTATTTCCAAGATCATACATCACCCAAAACCAATCATCCGTGCCTCCAATCATTCGACTGTTGGATGAATTTGATCGATATTCCCGTAATGTAGATTATTCTTCGGACGAAATCAACCAAAATTACCGCAATCGCGATCGATCTCCACATCACGTTAAGTCGTTCTCGCCTAAATTCGACATAAAAGAGCTTCCAGACGCGTACGAATTATATGGCGAGTTACCTGGCGTTGCCCAAAAAGACGTCGATATGGAATTCACAGATGCTTCTACGCTCACTATCAAAGGACGAATTGAGCGAAATTATTCTGGGGGATCTAAAATCGTTCAAGGAAGCGAGAGCTCATCAAAGCCTGTACGAAAGGCAACAGTCGAGGACGAGTGTGAAAATCAGGATACTACAGTGTCGATAACGAAAAATGAAGGCGTAAACAGCAATCCAAGTGAGAAGTTCTGGGTAATGGAACGAAATATCGGAGAATTTTCAAGATCCTTCGCATTTCCAGTACGAGTTGATCAGGATAATGTGAAAGCATCCATGAAGAATGGCATTCTCAGCGTATTTGTACCTAAAGGTTGGAAGCAAGAGGGCCGCAAGATTACGATTCAATAGATGTTGCTTGATGACAAATCTCTAAATTTTGATACGCGATAGATTTTGAATTACTTCAGTTAGTCATAGTGGGTCAATGGTTTAACGAATCTATTGACGGTAAGGAGTTCATTTTGATATTATTTCGTATTTACAATAAGAATTTGCACAAATTATTTTATGAATATCGTCGATGAATGCAAGGACTGATACCAAATAATAATATCGGGTTTCTCGTAGGAAAAAATAAGAGGATTGATCTCCCCAGACTCCGAACTCCTAAAGACTCGTGCATTAAAACCTCTCCTTCATTCGTGAGGCTACCGTCCTTAAATTTCCGTATACTTTCCCCGGCGGACTGCCTAATATGAGACTGACAATTGCCTCCCTTGCAATATGGATGTTCTTGAATCCGCCGAGGATATGAATTTTTGCGTCTGCTAAAACTACCCTTGTACGGCTTGCGTTCTCGATGGCATATTTTGTCTTGCCGTCCTTCCCAGCTATTCTTCCAATAGCACGCCCGAGATGCTCACCCTGTAATGTCTTGACGTCTTTTATTTCAAAAGTCTCGATGTAAAGATCATCCAAACGAAGTAGGGCTATAGCATCATCAACATCGAAACCGAGAGAGAAGGCTTTCACAAAATCCTCGCCCTTCTGCAGTGCACCTGAATCGGTGGTGAATTTTGAGTTACGCAGTTCAACAGCTTTATTCTTGATGTTCATGCGTACCTGGAGCTTGAGATGCTCGACCAGCGGCGGATAGATCTTTGGCCAGGCTACTTTCAGCGGGGTCATGCGGTGGGGCGGAATGGCGACTTTTCGATTTTCCACGCGAATTTGACTTTCCTATCATCCTTAGAGACATTTCTCAAAAAATTTCATGTACACACGATTCACATACTTCTGGCTTAGCTGGTGCGTACCGCGGGCGGCCCTCTTCATCAATCTGCATTTCTGTATCTTCTTGTGGAACTAGAGGCACCATGGCTTCAGACGGCTCCACATCATGGGTGTCTATCATTATATCTTCATCCTGGCCTAAGGATGATTAGAGAGTTTCCTTGTAGTGGATTGACATAGATTTGCAAAGTACCTGCGTCAGGTTGCGGAGTATTCTCAACGACGCGATGCTCATCATGCTTCCGTATTATAGCAGTTGGGGCGGGCATCTCGTAGGTGGAGAGTTCAGGCTCTTTTTAGGATTGGAGGGTGTTGAATTACTCAAATCGATTATCCGCGCACAAACAATTATTCTGGCTTACATGGAAATTTTCTACTCGAGTTGCCTCATCCGGTCATACTATATTCCGGGATTGGTCGAATGCCCAACATCAGGACACGGAATCTGCTGACCCGAGATCAAGTCTAGTACATGAGGGCAAAGTTCGAACATCTGTACGCGGTGTCATCTACGAACCCGAGAGTGAAATTTTCTCCCAGAGCCAAGTTCATCCAAACTTCGCAATATCAATGATGTTGGCACACGAGGCATTGATTCAAATTACTCCACCATGTCAATCTTTTACTCCCAACGGAATCGATTCCTACCTAAACCTCACTGAGTCTACAAGTACGACCTGGTACATCCTCATCCCGATGACCATCCTCACATCGACTATTCTCTGGACTCAGCTAGCCACCAATACACGCCGATATTTATACCCGGCAGAGGAAGAAAATCGTGGTGCACAAGTCTGAGAAACATTTCTATGGGATGGACGTGAGAGGGATTAGGACAAGTTGGTAAGAAGATGCAGAGGATGGATATACTTTCGACGGAGGTGAAATTTCGAATTTTGGCAAGGAGTTCATGAAAATTGAGCTTTGTGCGTGCCAAGGCTTCGGTTGTGAGAGTGCAGGCGACATTATAAATACCGCCATGGCTAGGTGTGGCTGTGGTACATCGTCTTGGCCGGTTATCCAAATAGATTCTGGATAGCTTTGATATGTATCCCACTTGAGACAGGAGACCGCTGGTTTGAATCTGTCAAAACACAACAAAATTTCTCGCGGCGCTGGCATACATGGATGCGAAGGCATGCTTGGACGATCAAAGTTTTTGAAATTCCCTTTGGTGGGTACTTACGGAGAATAGTCGACTGTTAGTGTAAGCAAGCATTCCTAAAAGTGATATTTGCGATTAAAATCTAGAGTGTAAGTGTTTCTAGTTTCAAAAGAGTCATTCCACCTGTAAACATAGCTCCGGTCATGTTTCATAGCTCTATAGCTGAATACACATCAAATGATTAAAAAAAGGAGGGTGATTATAACTTGTTCCAGAAAGAACCTACTAATAACGCAAAGTCATGGTCTGAGAAAGTAATCGAGACATTTATTCACAAATCTGAAGCGCTTCTTTCATAGTTAGCATGTGAAGCACATCTACTGAACACCTGCCAGCAATACCCTCCATACAAATCGTATAGAAAATTTACCTTGGAGCTGATACTTAGTCCTTAAACATTAAACATAGAAAGTCTCCCAATGGATAACTGTTTAGGAAGAGCTGTAATATTTAATTACATCTACATCTCCTAAAAATTGGGATTTAGAAGGCAAGTAAGTTTTTTTTTGTTTTGTTCAATTAACGTGCTGGGTTACATGACTACCGTCGCACTCCTACTGGAGCTTAAGTAGGAGTGCAACGGTAGTCACTCAACTTAGCACGTTAATGGACAAAACAGTGGTCGCGCCTTACTCGATATCTACCTGAACTTTGTAATTTTAAGTGTGATAAGTGTGCAAGTTATCCAAATTTGAGCTGGGCGAACAGCCAAGATGTAGACTATCCAACCGTTATCCAAAATTGAATAGAATATTTTGGAATAATCTCGCATAAAGTACCCCAATGATGACTGGAGTAAACTTAATCCTGAAACTAATCAGGAAGGAGCCTTGGATTAGTCATGGATTAGCCACAGAAGGAAATGTGGTCAGAGCTGGTGTGGAAATCTCTTCCTGAGAAGAGTTCCATAAGATAGCAGTCCCGGGATAGAGGTAGTCGGTATATATAAACTCAATATAATTTATTTGTTAATTCGCCCGAAATAAATCCTATGGTAGCCGTCGCTCTAAGATCGAGAAATAACGGAATAATTTATTGTGTTTGATCATTCAATTCGTATTCAGCCATTTAGGTCTAATACTTTAACGGTAACTGTGTAAACGTAAGATAACTGTTTTGAATTCAGAGATTCTCACGCTCTGTACTTCATCTGCAAATACCATAGTGGCATCTTTTCACGCTATTAAAATTCGCTGAAACCATTCTACATGTTTATCTGGTTGAATCTTAACGCCATTCTCATCCATAAATGTTCCTCAAATACTTGGCTCAAACAGCTCTTGACTAAACTTGCACATCTGTACCCCCCTAAAAGCATCAAAGAGCCTTCAGAGGGCGACTCGGCTTTTCGAGGTTTTTGACAACATACTCTCGATAGAATAGAATAGAATTAAATTTAAGTCCCTACTGAGTCTATGACTATGAAGGACTACTCTCGATATATAATGGTTGATTAGATGAAATTTTGGTAAAACTTCCTGTTGAATCTATGCCCATGAAAAACCGATTGAGCCATTAGTTAAGCGCTGTACCTATACACCCCCGAGAACATTGCTTTACCCAATGATTCTCGAATGGATATTGAGAGTCTCGCTATGGAAACACAGTGGCGCGGCAGAGCGGATAGAACTAGGTCCTGTCTTGAAGACTAGCTAGAATGCCATGTAATAGAAATCTCCAGCCTTGGAGAAATTACTCATAGGGTACGATGATTTGAAAATTCGTGAAGTTTGTTACTATTTAATGCGAGCTGTATAGGAGAAATATGAGGGGAATAATAATTGAGGTACAGCAAGGCTTTGACTGTACATAAATACTTAATTTAGGCTTACAAGATAAGATTTATATCAGATAAAGATAACCATGAAAACTGAGGGATTCAAGTACTCATATTTTAAACCAATCATGCAATTATGGCTACTTACGTAACACAAAAGGAGCCTGAAGCTCAAATACTGTTGGCGGTATCCTTTTCGAAATATCCACCTTTCACTGTGGAGACTGCAGAGCTGAAACTAAATCCAACGGCAACCAGGAGTTTTGTTATTGAAGATAAAATTTCCGTATACGCCGCTATACAAGACGGTAGAAGCGTTCAAGCTAGCCGGTTTTGCGGCGTATACGCTTTATCTAGTTCTTTTTAGCACTCTGACACGGTGTTATAGTTATGAGCTTGCGGAAGATATCTTGATAGACAAATAAAGGTGACTAGCGATGTACAAGGAGAACGAATATGTGAGATGGGAGCAATGAGCTAATGTGTGCAGACTTAGTTTTCTATCTAATTGAATGTGTGTGTTCTCTACATTCTATGTACATGGGTCGGCTAATTTACTAAGCTAGCTCCTGACAAATCCCTTGGCACACCATAACACTCCCCCTGTTGGTGATAACTATTATGGACCTTAGTATGGCCTAAAAGAGTGAGCCAACAATAGAGTGCCACTGAGACTTATTTTATTGTTACTAGTGACTTGTGCTTGGTTAACGCATCAGCCAGTTGATTGGTTGTTGGCACGTAAATAACAACAATGGACCCATCCTGAAATTGATTGCGACAGTAGAAATTTCGTAGTGCAACATGCTTTGTACGTCTGTGGTTATCATGATTTTTGGTTAGTGATATGGCAGACTGGTTGTCCACGTAGAGACTGGTGCCTTTAATGCCTTCGATTTGATCTTGAATTCCCAATTCCCAAAGCAATGACTTGACCCAGTTTAGTTCACGGCAAGTCTCTGTTGCAGCCAGAAATTCTGCTTCAGTTGATGATAGTACAACTTCACGCTGTAGATGTGATCTCCACATTATTGGCCCCTCTCCTAATCTGAGAAGTGTGCCGGACGTTGAGCGACTGGTGGATGGATCTGCGGCAAAGTCTGCGTCTGAATATGCTTCCAATACTGGTTTTTCCTTTGACCTCGTGAAAGTAATACCTTGATCGGGATCTTTTGCGATATATCGGAGCACACGACGCGCTGCTTGTAGGTGTTCCATGCAGGGATTTATCAAGAAACGCGCAAGGTGATTTACTGCAAAGGCAATATCTGGTCGGGTGTTATTTGAAAGATATTGAAGACCCCCAACAATTGAATTGTACTCAGTTCTAGTCTGGAGTGTGCATTGCAAGGCATTTGGCTCTAATAATTGCTCCAGAGGTCTGTTGGCGGGTTTACAATCAGAGAGCCCGTGTCTATTCAAGAGCGTCCGGGCATATTGCCCCTGTGTTAGTTTGAGCGTATCTTTGTCTGGGTAATCTATGTTTATTCCTAGAAATAGGTTTGTTTCGACAGGTTTAAGCTTGTACCTTTTGTACAGTGCATGCATGAGATCGTTTATTTTATCAATGTCCGGTCCTAATATCTGAAAATCATCGACATGCACCACAACAAAAAGATCCCTGCTTTGGTTGGCATACAAACACACATCAGAAATTGTTGGGAATAGTCCCAGTGATGCCAGGGTAGCCTTGACGTCGTCGTACCATAGCGCTGCAGCTTGCTTTAGACCATACAGACCTTTGCGCAAGAGTATGATATGACCATCTCTTTCGAAACCCTTCGGCATCTCCATGAATAGATCTATATTGAGATCAGGGTTGAGAAACGCTGATGTGCTACAACTAACATGATCCTTCCAGTTCCAGGTCTAGGTGTGGGGGCAAATGTTTCTTGATAATCAATTCCTGGTCTTTGTGTGAATCCTTTTGCTGTACAGCGTGCCTTGTATTTGTCAATACTTCCGTCCGCGAGGAACTTCTTCTTGAAGACCCATTTGCACTTCATTGGGCTGCGACCTTTTGGTAGAAGTGATCTTTTAATGATCTGGATAGCTCCAGTTTCCTTTAGGGAGTTGATTTCCTGTTGCGCTGCCTGCCTCCACTGTCGCGACTCACCACTTGTCATTGCCTCCTCCCATGTTTTGGGATCAGTATAAGGCTGTACTGCTAGACCATGGTGAAGACGATAGTAATTTAACTTTTTAACATTTCTACCACTTCTTGTTTGTGTAGTCTCAGCTTCTGGTGAATGTGGCCGCTTTTGTCCAGCAATTGGTGGAACTGGATCCCATCCAGTCATAATTTTATCATATTCAGTCCACTCATCATCTGGTTCATAGTCCATTACATCACTTAATCCAACCGGAGATCCTGGTCGTTCATATGTTGTCAGAGGACCGTGGACTTCTTGATCAGACAAATTTTGAGTAATTTGCTGTGTATTTGGCGGACTGATTTGCTGTTGGTCTCCTGTTTGTTCTTGTACCCCCTGCATATCTTGATGATTTCTAAAAATAGTCTGATGTTGAGCTGCTTGTGACGTTTCTACTGGGCCGATTACCTGACAATCCCGTTGTTGTACAGGTCCTTGCGTGGATTCTTGGTTCAATTCACGCTGCCATTCCATAGGAGAGCTTGTTACTGCCTCATCTTGTGTATGGGATCTAGATGACTGATGATTGGATTGAATTTCATCACGAGGAACTATTGATGAATCAAGCTGGGAATCATTAGCGTCAGGAATTATTGAGTTTGGCTGGCTTGAGCTCTGTGAGCAGTACTCCCCCTGAAATTCTTGTTGGGTAATTTCTTCTGACGGTGCCCATGAAGGTGATTGATGTGTTGACGTTGTCGATTCAGCAAAGATAGAATTATCTCCTGCCCAATAATCAATAGTTTGTTGATGGTCAGATCTTTCGCATTCATCACCATACATTACATCCTCATTGAATGTTGCATGAGGTGTGAAGCTAATTTTCCATTTCTGCCCATTAATCGGTGTCCAGTGTGGGTGGTGAATAATGAAATTCTTATCTGTATTAGCTTGGAATCCAATGAACCAGCCTTTATATGCTCTCGGCTCAAATTTGCTTGGTTTGGGGTCAGTCAGCTTATATGCCCGGCATCCAAATCGTGGCAAGTTATTAAAGTCAACCTTGTCTGGGCATGGCTGTTTGAGGCTCTTAAGAAAGTCTATTAGTGGAACCTGCTTAGTCCGGAGACAAAAGAGTCTATTTGTAATAAAACATGCATGTTGGACTGCCCAGGGCCAATATTTAGCCGGCATTTTAGCATCAATGAGCATAGATCGTGCTACTCTTAAAATCACCTTATTTGCCGCTTCAGACAGTCCGTTTTGTTCTGGTGTCTCAGGTGCAGAGGTGTGCGTCTGTATGCCATGTTGTTCACGGTAAGCCCTGGTCCGCGTAAACTCCGTGCCGCCATCCCTAAATATTATACGTATACGCTTACCGTACTGGTGATGCATGGTATTTATCCACTGGATAAGCGTTGTTGCAATTTGATCCTTTGTATGGATTGCTAGCGCCCATCTCATGCGGGTTTTGGCATCAGTTATGATAACAGCATATTGATGACCGAGAAGTGACGGAGCTATTGGGCCTACTGTGTCTAAGAATATTTCATCTAGGGGACTGTTTGGTATGAGTCTCGGTTGGCGGGAGACAAAGCGTTGTGCTTTGCTCAGATGGCATGTCTCACACACACTTAGATCTGAAGTATCTAGATTCTCTAGACCTATAGAACACTGTGAGGTTTTCTTGAGAATCTTTTGTCCAACATGCCCCAGCCGTTGATGCCATCGTTGAGTATTATTTGTCTTGGGCACTCTTGCAACTCCAGGCGCTGCTATTTGCTGGGTTACACTTTCCCCTCCACCTTCCAGAGGTAAGATGTATGATACATCGTTCTTTTGAATAATACGCGCTTTGGGCATGTCAGGTTGACCTTTATTTTTACGCACCAGAAACCTCTTGACAGGGTCAATAGTTATGCCCCCAAGTCGCTCTAGTCTACCAGCAGAGATTATATTGCATGATGATTTCGGGGAGTAGAGAGTATTGTGTAAGTCTAGCCTGAATTTTCCCAGCTTAATGTGGGCTATTCCTTCCTTAGTGAGAGCCATCGCTCCTACAGCCTGGTCAAATCTGAATGGATGTATACGCTCGTGGAGGTTAATAAAGGCAGATTTCATGCTCACAAAGTGGTGCGATGCACCGGTATCATATATGAAAGGCATTTTATTTCCACTTATAGCTGCTGCAGATATGTTTACACTTTCTGAATATTCAGATTCACCATCTTCGATATTCTCCTGGATGGATGCCTTTGCTTTACCCTTGCCCTTTCCTTTACTCAGCCACTTTTCTGCTTTAGGTCCAACTGCCAATTCCGGATGTTGCTTGTAGCAATACTTGTTTTTATGCTTGTGCCAGCACAGCCTACATGTTGCTTCTGGATCTGGTTCATTAACATCTTGTTGTTGTGGAGTAGCCATCATGGCGATTTTAGGTGCTTGGCTTCGGACTCCGGCCTCGGTTCGCAGTGTGGACATCATATAATCCAGTGGTGCAAGGGTATTTTTTAGAGTTCGAGTCTTCGTGCCTCTCCAGATGTCAAGCCACTCCACCTCTTTTGTGCCAAAAACAAATAAAGCTGCTGCTTGTCCTTTATGGACTTTGTAGTCTTCTGCCATTGCTGATTCATCTGCAGCTGCCATAACTGAAGCTGCATTGTTAACACTTTGCAGCCGCTTAAGGAACACATCGCAGTATTCATCTGCAGTTGCAGTGAATCTAGTTTCTAACAATTTGGCAAGAGCAGTTTCATACGGTGCGGAGGCTGTTGTTATTCTAGTTTTGGCTAGCTCGTCGTACAACTGTTTCGCAGTGATCTGGTCGTAGTCTTCGGGGACCAACTCGGGGCTCAACCGAGTGACGATCGCATCTTTTGCACGAAACTCACCGTGCGACCATTTCGCAAGTGCCTTCTTGTGATTCATTGCTGCGTCTTCATCTTCATCTATTTCCTTCGGCTTAGATGACTGGGTAATAGGGTCTATGCCTGGGACATCATGAAAGACATGTCCTACGACATCAAGTATACTGAGTCTTGCTTGTAAGCTGCTCTTCCACTGGTTGAATGGAACTCCTTTCCTTAAGGTCACCTTGTCTGAATCTGTATTTATCATGGTTGTTGAAGAGCCCGGGCTCATAACCTGTTATAGTTATGAGCTTGCGGAAGATATCTTGATAGACAAATAAAGGTGACTAGCGATGTACAAGGAGAACGAATATGCGAGATGGGAGCAATGAGCTAATGTGTGCAGACTTAGTTTTCTATCTAATTGAATGTGTGTGTTCTCTACATTCTATGTACATGGGTCGGCTAATTTACTAAGCTAGCTCCTGACAAATCCCTTGGCACACTATAACACACGGCCTCCAATTCGACCCCAGGCACAATTGATGAAAGGTGGTTAGGACGGTAAAGAGTGATTTTACAATGTACCCACAAATCTGAAGCAACTAGCCGACCGGCCACTACGGACGCTCTAGGAACATAGATATATCATCGGATTTAGTCCCAGTGTCGGTACTAAGAAAGACACGCGCTCATTAGTTTTTGCGATTTTCCCCGGCATCCATACATCCACGACTGGCCATCGTTACATTAACTGGTAAGAGGAGATAATGAAGGGTGACGGCCCTCTCAGAGTATTTTATTCATTGAGGAATTCTGAGGGATGATTCTATTTGCTTGGACCTGTAGAGATAGAGGGGGCGAAATACTATTCAAGGAATAGATTATCTGGATTGTAAGTGAAGGAGCTTGCACAACATGTTCACTTGTAGCCAGAATATGTGAAGCCAGCCTTGGAAAAAGGTAACAAATTGTTGATATTGCGATGCATTAGACCTAAAATGGACTAGATCTCCTAGCATTTTCAATTGCTGTAATTTACCTGGTCCTGGCAGCTCAGCGCTAGCAAGGATGTTGCATTTTTGTATACATATATATATATATCTTTTGTCTTCTGTAACACATCGGAAGCACATGACTAACATATCAATCAAACTTTGAAACATCACATATTCAGATAACTGTTGTATTTCGGATACATACTTACTGAAGATTAGGACAGCCGAACGAGACCTGATCTAGCAAAATTGTGCCGCAAATTTCAACAAATTTTATTCAGACAGCATGGCAAATTATCTCGCCTCCATCTTTGGTACAGAAGCCGATAAAGTCAACTGCTCCTTCTACTACAAAATTGGAGCCTGTCGGCACGGTGACAGATGTTCGCGGAAACACGTTAAACCATCATATTCACAAACCATTCTTCTTCCGAATCTGTATCAGAATCCTGCCTACGATCCCAAGGTCAAGATGAATCCCTCTCAACTGCAAAACCATTTTGACGCTTTCTATGAGGATTTTTGGTGTGAAATGTGTAAATTTGGAGAGATCGAGGAGGTGGTTGTATGTGATAACAATAACGATCGTATGTGCTATCTTTAATTTACGCTTCTTACCAACCTATCAGTTACCAATTCCCCTAAGTCACTTTTTAGTATGAAAGAAAAGCTACTCAGATCAAAGACTAACGCAAGCATCTCGTGATCTTAGACTTGATTGGAAATGTCTATGCACGCTTCAAGTATGAAGATTCAGCTCAGAAGGCCTGCGATGCGCTCAATTCCCGATGGTATTCGGCAAGACCCATCTACTGCGAGCTCTCACCTGTCACTGATTTCCGGGAAGCATGCTGTCGCCTGAACAGTGGTGAAGGCTGCGTGCGTGGCGGTTTCTGCAACTTTATCCATCGCAAAAATCCAAGTGCTGAACTCGATCGAGAGTTAGAGTTGAGCACCAAGAAATGGCTTCGACTCCGTGGAAGAGATGAGCGCAGTGCTAGCAGGAGCCCCAGCCCGGAACCAACTCGGAAGCGATACGCATGAGGACATTAAAAATTAGAGCGGATCCCAACGGCGTGAATGTATCGCCATAGTTGTGCAAGTAGAATAATGAATTCCCTGGGTGACAGGAGAAAGGCGTAACATTTCCGGGAGTTTGGGGCGGGCAAAAGGGCTAGACCCATTAATTGTATTCTCATGGAGCCAAAATTTACCTTGGTCACAAAAGAACGGGTATACCACACTTCATTTTAAGTTCAGCTAGGTTCAGCAGATATCCGGTCCAGACGGTACGACGCTGTATTAATTATAGCTATAAACACTGAATCGCGCCGATCATGAGGGTTGAGAACATGACAAATTTGAACCATGCTAGAAGCTTCTGTGTAAGGTAACCTGGTGATATTGAGGATATGAAAGATGGTTCGATGCAGACGCGTGACCTCAGCAGCCTAATTTTGCGGCCACACTAATAGGGTGAGAAGTACCAAGCCTAACCATTGCTTATATCATAGAGTAATTCACTATCAATAACATAATAGGCACAATACTAAACTCATACTTTGCCCTCCAAGTACAATACCAGCCATGTCATTCCATCGCATACCTAAAGGCCCGGCCTTGTTAAACTTGACTTACCGCAGAATCTCTTCAAACTGCAACAAAATCCTGGACTAGTTATATAAGTCTGAGTCGGTACATTCAAAGTGGCGTCAAAACTACTAAGTGGCTTGTGTAAACGAGGCTCTTCACGGAAATATGCCCCGGATCTCCTTTTACGGTTACATGATCATCCCCAAAAAAATTCTCTGACAACCTAGACACAAGTATTCATGAGCAAAGTGTATAGGACTGTGTCCCGTTTTATTGTAAAGCTCAAAGGAGTAGTAACCTCAACTGTCTGCCTAATGTTTTATAACTTCAGTTTGTACCCCAAATTCGCATTAACCTGGCCTGCAGATGCTAAAAAATGCAGTGTCTGGCAACTTGTCCCTCGGGCCCTTCATTGTTCGGGTGGTTGGGTGCCTGATCTACTAGAAAAGTTAGCTCTAGCGTCTTTTACCATTAAATACAGTCAGCGCATATGAGCTGCAGCCCGTGCTAGATAGATAAAAGATACCACAAAACAATCTACAATCATGAGTCAGAGGACGAAGACTGAACACCTGTCAGTAGTATCCTCTTCAAACCTGGGGGTGAAATATTCTCCCAGAACCGAGATTCAGTCATGACAAAGTGTGAATTTGAGAGTTTTCGTCGAGATGGCGATCGGGAAGAGTGGTGTTGGCTCATTTTTGGTCGAAAATATGACTTGCAGAGATTTCACGACTACACAACTCAACGAAATCAATCATCTACACCCCAGATACGAACTGCAGACAGCCTACAACCTGTCTGATGTTCGTATTACAAAAACCGACTCCTTCAAGATATTGTTTTCTTTTTCTCTGGAAAGTTATTCCCAGCCAAAATCATCTCGCGGCCCTCTCCACAATCATCTCACCACCTACCGATGCAATCCTATACCTTCAAAAGTCAAATCGCCAACAAAGATGCAAGAGGATGTCCGACCCTCCGCAACTGCCAGTCGCTATGAAGGTACGGTCGAAATACCGGCCTTAAATGCGTCCTCACCTCGTCCAAGGGCACCAACAACTCGACCTGCGACGAATCGCCACCGACGAAATACGTACGACATTTCGCCGGCACACCAACGAGAGCGTTCGACAAAGGCTGAGGCACCGGTGCCTCGGTCTTGAGCTCACAGTCGCGTTTTCGACCTCCACAGTTAGGGGTACGGCAGCGACGGGGCAGGGCCGGAGGGGTGAACATTCTACAAAGTTTCTTGGATGATGAGATCGACTCAAGGATAGAGGGATGCCATATAAAGGAACAAATGGGAATACAAATTAAGGAGGCCTTGGTGGGCGACTGGATGAGGCCTCCAGTGAAGAAAACGACCCCTGTATGAGACGAGGAGATGCTGAGGTGAACCTAAGCTGGGAATGAATCGAAGGGAAAAGTTACAGATTGTGGAGGTGTCAAGGGCTCGAGCGCGTGGTGGCCGAGGCTGGGGAGGAATATGCGCTTCGGCGCGCCAAAAGGGGGTTCCCTGGACGGTTGGGCTTGACATGATTCAACACATGGGTGAAGTCTGAGGTGGTCCGGTCATTTAGGTGGGACGAGGTAGATGTACTTTACGGTCGTGAACCGGAACCGGCCCGGCCCCACTCCTACTCAAGCTCCAGTAGGAGTGCGACGGTAGTCATGTAACCTAGCACATTAATGAACAAATAAACAACTAACTCATATATGAGTCCGAGCCTAACTAATCAGTGGTTAAGATGGTTATCTTTTTGCATCAGATTTTAATTGCGTGTCGAGCCTTTTGAGCTCGTTCAAAAGCTTTAATGTTTGAGACTGGAGGTATCTGGAAGAATAGCTCGCACAGGAGCTTTCAATTGAAGTAAAATAAAAGATACCATTGTCTGCCTGTTTTCCTTCCTCTTTCTCTAAGCTTTTATATCTAAACATATCTACTACCTGACAAATGATGAAAATATCTAGAAATAGCTTCCTTATATCACTTGACACAATCCAAACATGTTGTAGCCAAGATGTAATCATAAAAAGACTCAATACCAGTCGATCACGTCTATTACACGGACACCAAGTATTTTCTAGTTGAAAATTACCTCAAACGCCAAGGTTTTCTTGAGACGATCACGAGTTATCTCAGGTACTAACATCACATGTTATTCTGACAATAATGTTACGATCATATTAGAGGGATGGAATATATTTGAATAACTAAAGAGTAAGTTAGGAACACGAATTCTATCAGGCTCTGATCCTGATCTGACATTGCGCATGCAGCTATCTAGCTTTGACACAATATCAAAGAAAGGTACAGAAAATATGACTCAATTTACAAGAAGAGTACTCGTGCCTCAGATTTCATTTGCAAGTACCACTGCGAAGTTATTGTGGCTTTTTCTTCACCCCAAGTAAACCCACTTTTTTGAATACCCACACATGGGAACGTCTCCGAAACCCTGAGGCATTCGGATATGCCTCAATCATCCATTATTTTTCCTGCGCGCGAAATGTGATCTTAAGCGTCACCTTCCAAATTGGAGTAGGTACCCAGGCTACTCGAACTATACCAGAGAACACCACCAAGAGATGGACCACGGCACCTTCCATCGTTGACTCGTATTTGTAGTATCAGTTGCACTCTCGCAAGCGAAATATTGGCGCACACAAAGCTTAATTTGTAAAACTCCTTGCCAAATTTCAGTATTTCACGCCCATAGAGGTTATGTCCTTACTTTGCATCATCTTGTGTACTTTTCCAGATCCCTCTTACGCCAATCCCAAAGAACTATCTCCCACATTTGCTTGCAACGATTTGCTTCCTCTGCGGGATGTGAATATTGGCGTGGGGGTCTGTTTAGCGCTTAGCTGAGGCCAGAGCATAGTCGATGTGAGGTATGGTCATTGGGACGAGAATGTACTTGGTCGTACATGTAGACTTGATGAGAATTATATAGGATTCGAACTCTTTGGAAGCGAAAAATTGATCTGATGGAGTAATTTGAATAAATGCCTCGTGGGCCAACTTGCTCGATATTGCGAAATTTGAATGAACTTGGCTCTGGAAAATTTTCACTCCCAGGTTCGAAGAAGACACCGCGGACAGGTGTTCAGTCTTGTCCTCCTTGATATGATTTAGCCATGGAGCAGCAGTAATATTTATACCATGGTAAGGGTGACTATTCTCAACACTTGTCAGTGGTGTCTCCTACAAACCTCCAGCTATCACTGTAGTGTCTGCAGAGCCGAGATTGACTAACAATGTCCTCACTTCGACTAGTATTCCCAATCGTTTACGCAGTCTCTATCGTCTTCATCTATCATCACATTCCCCTATCACTAATATCATGAAGCTTACCATGATCAGATCAGATGGTGGGGTCGAAGTCCTACTCATCACCAACCCTTGATCATGGAGGAAAAGCCATCCGATGTGTTCCCGGTGCGTACCCAGCACCCGATACGAAGATGGTAGGTTGGATCAAGTCGGCCTCGAATGTTACAAAGAAGGGAGATATAGATGAATATGCGCACCTCATGTGGTCCCGGGGTCTAGGCCTCGCCTGGCTAGGGCTGCAGGCTTTTTGAGACTTTTTCCCGCGCACTCAGTTTCCATTGCTACAATCTTTGTTATTCGGGGTAGAAGGTTCCGTGGAAAAGGTGGCCGAATTCCACGGGTAAATCCTAAGCTGAATGGCTATTCATCACGGGCAATATATCAATGATCTTTCGAATAACATGAGAGGCAAGGAGCACTGTACATGGTGTAGCCTAGGTCAGAGAGGAGCCCAATGTGCTAGATAGTCGTAGGCTTATGTAGTACAATAAAAACACAAGAACACATAAGCCATGGTAATAAACATCTTATCCTTAAAGTGATACTGTAGTTGGCCGACTGCTAGAAGCGCACTTTGGCTGATAACTTTGCAGAAGGATTATTATTAAGACGTTGACATGTTAGTCTGCACCCGCCTAATCTGATCTAGACACAAACCTACTTTACATATATCTATTATTTCTCTTCACACTCGTGTTGGTAAGGTTGCATGCTCCGCATTAACTAATAGTTTAGGTCAAGTGAAGTCCTATTGATCGAGTGTTGATCTGTGACTTTAATAATGGGAATGTAGAGTATGAAAGCTGAATTATTCACGACTGATGAGGGAGAAGGATCATTTTGTAATTCGTTCTATCTGATCTTCGTAATGGGACAAGAGACATTGAAACAAAACTGGTTGTAGAGATTTCGATACATTTAGTCTATGAACCAACACACCATTTCTCCCGTAACTGATCATCTATCTGGGATAGCCTTGAGTTAACTTTATTGTTGTCAGCATCCTGGCGGTGGTAATGATAATGTTTTATATCTTGTATTTTTGGGACATCCAAGAAGGATGGCATCCTAATGAAAGTCAAAAGCAGACACAAGCCATCGGTGTTATAATTACGAGGTTAGAAGGATAAGTATTGTGGGAGGATAGTATATTTATAAAGAAGGATGTGGAATGAATATTCTGGTGGTGGGCGAATGTATTTAGACTATCTGAGGATAATATGGATATCTAAAGATGAACGCATAATCTACCTAAGAAGTAAATGGACCTGATAATATACTTGTACGATCTATCCTATAGCCGTGTCCATTGATTGTCTGATGTACTCATGTAATGCGTATCGACATTTTTTGATCCTTAAGCTCCTGATAATGAGAACGACTCACATTTGAGTCCTGCATTAATATGAGCTTGTATAACTAAAGTCATGTTGTTTCATCACTGAGTCCTGTCTATGAAGCCCTTGCTTCCTTGCGCAGACTAGGATCACAACAATCGGTAATTGACAACTCATCAATATCGCTTTTGTCTTTCTCACCCAAGTCGGAGGAATCAATCTTATCACAAATCATCTCACTCTCATAACCGGTCAAGGAGTTGCTCTAATTTCAAACGGTAGCTTGCCTTGTCAGTTACCAGGTGCCTCACATTTTTAAAATCAAGATGTTACTTTTACCCGCATGGAGCAATCAAGTCATAAAATTCGGAATTTGGGCCTTGATTTATGGTGTGAGTGTAGCTCTATTGGGGTATTACAACTTGCAGAAAGACACGTAAATGAATCATGGAATTCGAGACGAAGGTGTTCAAAAATAAGCATTTTAGGACTTACTTTCTTAAGATATTTTCGTCTTTTTAGTGTTGGGCGTCTAGATCAAGGTTTCGGGTAGAGCTACCAGCACTGAGAACGGGACGTTTCGGGTGATTTTTTTTTTTTTTTTGCATCAAATTTTAATTGCGTATGCAGCTATCTAGCTATGACACAATTTCAAAGAAAAGTACAGAATAGATGATTCAACGTAAAGGAAGAGCACTCATGCCTCGGATTTCATTTGCAAGTACCACTGCGAAGTTATGGCGGCTTTTTCTTCACCCCAAGTCAACCCTCATCCGTGAATACCAACCCAGGGGAACGTCTCAAAAACCCTGAGTTATCCAGACATGCCTCCATCATCTTTCAACTTTTCTCCGCGCGAAATATGGTCTGAGATATCTCTTTCCCAAGTGGAGTAGGTGCCCAGGCTACTCAAACCATACCGAAGAACACCACCAGGAGGCGGACCACAACACCTTCCATCGTTTGCTTGTTTTTATAGTGTCAGCTGCACTCTCGCAAGCGAAGTCTTGGCGCGCACAAAGCTCAATTCGAAAAACTCCTTGCCAAAATTCGGAATTTCATGCCCTTCGAGGTTATATCCGTCCTTCACATCATCTTGTCAACTTGTCCAGATCTCTCTCACATCCATCCCAAAGAACTGTCTCCCAGATTTGTGCGCCACGCTTTCCTTCCTCCGTCGGGTATAAATATCGGCGTGGGCGTATATTTGGTGACCAGCTGAGGCCATAGAAGGTCGAAGAGTGGTGTGGTCATTGGAATGAGGATGTACTTGGTCGTACTTGTAGACTCGATGAGACGAAGATAGGAGTCAAACTCGTTGGGAGCGAAATAACGACGTGGATGAGTAATTTGGATTTTTGCCTCGTGGGCCAACTTCTTTGATATTGCGAAATTTGACTGAACTTGGCTCTGGGAGAATATTTCACTCCCAGGTTCGTAGAGGACACCGCGTACAGGTGTTCAGTCTTGCCCTCCACGTTTCGGGGTTGCCTTGATGAAATAAGTGTGGTAAAATTACTTTGGTCATGAAAGTAAATGTTGGCGCAAGTCAAGGTTTCAACGTAGAGTTAGATGTCTTGATGGGATATTCCACGGATTCAAGCAAACCTTAGAAAACCGGTCCCCTGTAGTATGTCTCTATTAAATAAATAAATTATTCACTATCCTGATTTGGCGCCCTGTGGCCCATGCAGGTTTAATCGGAAGATATGTACTTTGAGTAGGATGACCCTAGTTGATGTTTAGAACACTCATACTCAGATTTCATTTGCAGATACCATTGGAGGTTAACCCTTATGACCTATAACCTCTTCCATGTGTACCCACCACAGAGAAAATCGTGAAAAACATCTGGTTACCCGAGTATGCTTTTATCATCCCACAAGTACAATATCACCGCGAGAGAGAGTGGTATGTGTGCTTTATTGGATTCGAACTAGCTTTCCCCTGTCTCAAATGGAGTGGGTGTTTAAGCTACCCAGATTCTACTTTGGGGAACGGCCCGAATGGTGTACCACCCCGCCATCCAACCCGTATGTCTCTATTATTGTCCTCTTCTAGTTCGTATTGGAAATTGGTCTAGATAGACATAATACTTCTAAATCGATCACTTCATAAAATTTAGAATTAGACGCGGGTTCGTGACTGGCACGTTGAAATAACAATAAATGGATGAATTAATTAGTACTGCTTAGCCTGTAGCTATAGTACGATATAGAGATTCTTTTCATTCACGAGTCGAGATATCTAACATTCATGCATTGTAATCCTTTCTTCACTGTTATTATCTGAGACTAGACCCCTAAATGCTTATATTTCAGTATAATATTGGGCTTTTTTTCCGTTCCGTGCCAGTCATTATTGTCTTACTTCGCCATAGTTAGGGTGTCTTCTATAGTTCTCTTTTTCACTATATTACATAATGTGAATTAGTAAACTATTTCAGGTTTGTATGTGTGGCTGGTACATGTGTTGCCAAAGTATCGCATGGTAACCATCGTACTTGTCTATTCCTTGACGAGAAAATTAGCATCAAATTTTCCTGTCCCATGAGCTTTGTATGACTGATGAAACATCTTGGCACTAGGCATCGATGCTGTGAAATGGCATGGCCTCTTCACTGTCAGCGTCCCGTTTAGGCACTTGCAGCTCTTAGCAAAACGTGAACGCCTACAAACAGATAATTTAACGCTAAAAAGGAATCATTTTCACCACCATTTCTTCATCATGATCGGAAATTATTGTGCAGAGATTGTCGATGTATTAGGCTAATTATCCTGGAGTTTCTGAGAACTTTACGCAATGAAAGATATTTATGTTATATGTTCTAGATGCGCTTCATTCTCGAGTTTAGGACTTGAAAATGGTATGATCGTTTGCTTCTTCGGAATTGATAAGCTCGACTTTTAGAAATTTGTTCACTTCTTCGAATTACTTTTGAAAATTGATCTCTAGTATGGTGAAGGTGCTTCGTAAATTATTGAAAAAAATCAAATAAATGCGAAAAATCTTTTAAAAATCATTTATGTTCTTATGTTATCTCCAAGATGATTTACTCGAAAGTTTTCTGTATTTGTTTCGCTGCCTGATGAGAGTTAGTAAAAAGCATGCCAAAAAATATATAGCTGTCCCTCACATCAATAAACTTTTCCAAGTCTTTATCAAGGTTGGCTAGATCTTCTTTTCGCTTCTTATTATCAGCAATTAAGCTTTGCTTTTTCTTAAGTAGCCCTTGTCGCTGTTCTTCGAGTTTCATTCGCTCAATGTGCTCGTGGTCGATTCTTGCAATAGTCAAGGCTGTGTCGTCCATATTAGCATATTCTGGATATTCTGCAACGAATTGTTCGACCGGTATTAGTGGAAGTTGTAGGTATTTATGACTTTTAGAACTTAGCGGGTTTACTTAGAAGGTTTTCAAGAAATCTTACTCATATGACTCGCAGGAAATAATCTCTCCCTCCAAATGTCTTTGCTCGTAATAAAGATTTTGGAGCTGAAGGTGTAATTTGTCAACTTGTTGTCGTGCCTCTGCAGTCTGAGCCTTTGTTTCTCTAGCACCCTTGTGTGCATCACGATGTAGTCCACGAAGAAGAGCTAAATCAGTGAGCAAAAATTTTTGCTGCCTAGATACTTGAAGCTGGAAATCATTTGACAATGGAAATGTCGGCTCATGGCTCGAGACAAGATCAAGGAGTAGGAGAGCTTGGTCTTGAGTCTGTCTTGAAGTCTCTAATGCTGATCTTAAAGAGGGATCAGTCACGATCTCACTGGCAGCCATAGTATCGCTTGTTGAAGGCTCATTGAGAGAATTAATGCTTCATAATAAAAACAACGCAAATTTTATGCATGTGATGGGTATGTGTATCAGAACTGGTTGTAAATAGCCGGTTATTAGTAATATTCATTGGGATTTTTGAGCAAAGTGTCGCAGGGAACTGTACAGGGCTAATTGGCGCTGTTGTACGATGGCCGCGTGGATCTTCCGCATCCGTTGTCGTTAGACCGTACTTTCTTTGATGCATTATTGTCGTCTCATAGTCCTCGTCTACACATGACTTGTGTATCTCGGCCTTCAGGCCAAGGAAACATACGCAAGTAGTACATCTGCTCTTATGGCTCCTACATAGCTCCTAGCAAAAAGTGCTAATCCTCACAAGCTCCATTGTTCATACACTTTGAAGTGACCTCTATACTAAGTTACCTCCCTCTACCGGCCAACAAAACGATGGTCATTATATTCACGAGGAAAAGGTGGCTGAATTCCACGGGTGTAAACTGAGCTAAATGGCTATTCATCACGGGCAATATATCAATGATATTTCAAGTAACAAAAGAGGCGAGGAGCACTGTACAAAGTGTGGACTGGGTCAGAGAGAAGTCCATTGCGCTAGATACTCTATGACACTAGCAGTACAATAAACAAACATTGTGTCTAATGAGCGGGGTCAGATGCCTATCACTGTCCTAACGATATTCTGAACAATTCAGGCTCAAAGGACAATTAATGCCACCCAAATATGATCACTTTACCCACATGAGATGGGAGACGAAACTTAACACCTGTTAGTTGTGTCCCTAACGAACCTTCAGCACTTACTGTTGAGTCTGCAAGGCCGAGATTGAGTAACACTTTCTCAAGTATGAGCTAAGTTATCTCCCCCTCCGCCAAAGATACGCTTCCGATAACACATAAGACGACTAAGATGACAATAATGATGCAGGGGATGGGAAAAGATAATGCGATACCAAACGCTACAAGGGTAGTCAGAGAAGCCCTTGTCATCACAACATGTTCTACCAAACGGCGGGGCCGGCAAAGACGAATTCTTCACCTTCCAGTAGTGCCGGTGTAATCGCTCAGTATGCTCTGTATATCTGGGAAAGCCGAGAAGAATCGCATCCAAATCGAAGTCGAAAGCAATCTCAAGCAGATCTCCATTTGACGACTTCTCGACAATGCCACTCTTACCACACATCATCTCGCCTCAATGACCGATAAAAAAGTTGCTCCAATTGCAAATAGCAGCTTGCCTTAATTATTTCCAGCCATCTCTCAGTACATATTTACGACGTTATTTATACCCGCAAGGTGGAAATCAAGTCGAAAAATACAAAGTCTGGGTCTTGGCTTATGGGGGACTATTGATCTAACGGGACAAACAGCCTGAGGGAGAACAGTCGGCTGAGATGTGGAGCGAGAAGGGGAACAGGTCTCTGAAGACCATGCTGGAACTGATATTTTTGAGGAGTTTTCAACTTTAGAAATTTTGTGGGCGCCAAGACCAAGATTTCGGCTAATTAACCAGGAGGACATCTTTTGTCGATGGGTCAACGGCACTCTCCAGCGCCCTGGACGGCACAAAAGAAGTTGGGCTAAGCTACCACACAGCAACCATGCTCTGTCAAGACTTTTCTGACATTCCGGCACGACCTTCGGGAAGGAGTTGGAAGGAGGCTAGAAAGCCAGAGGGTGAATTTTCCGAGGTACCCACAAGTCTACAGCGCCCAGCTAGCCGGCTCTTTGAACACTTCAGAATGGTAGCTGTATCTTCGGACTTAGTCCTCATGTCGGTATTAGGAGAGCTCCGCACCCAGTGGCTTTTGCGATTTTCCCCGGCTACCTCACACCCGCAAATAGCCACTGTTTTGTTGGCGGGAGACGGGAGACAATGAAGGGCAAAGGGCTCCTCAAAGTGTATGATCAAATGAGGACTTGTGAGGGTTTGTACTGTCTGAGGGAGCTGTATGGGAGGTATCGAAAGGAAGATACCACTGGTATAGGTATCCTTGGCCTGTAGGCAGAGAGGGCCCTCATGTCCTACAAAGTCATAGACTCAGACAGGACAATAAAATGAATTAATAATAATACCAAACTTCGGGCAAAAAAAGGCCCCTCAGCCCTCAAGAAAAGCAGATTTGGACTCGCCAAAAATATCGTCCCTTCTAATACTTATTTCCGAATCTATTATCTAGGAGGGCAACTTAACCCAAACCTGCTAGGCATTGTAAATGCAACGCAAAAGCAGAACAAGAGAGAAAAAAGATTGGGCTTTGCCCAGGAATCTCTAGAACTACTCAACTCCTGGGCTAAGAGTGAAGGATAGAAGCAAGCTGCAGCAGTTGTCGCGACTCTGATGGAAAAGATCACGCTTGTTATCAATGCCTTCGCAGTAGATCAAGCAAAAGTAACTAACTTTCCAAGTAAAAAGCCCCTTACCATGGCAAGCACTCTCAAATAAGACGCGCCTAGGAACCATATTGTTGTTAAGAACAGTCACGGCCTACATCCAAAGCCTCTATAAATAGCTCGACTTGGGTGACAGTAATTGGCAAAGCTTCTGACTCCGCCAAATATTCAAGTTCCGAGAAGGCCTGCTCCAGCAATCAATCCACAGACATTGTAGTGGGTGGTATACATGACCTATCATTTAACACGTCACAATATTTGTATAGAGTTAGAAACTACCAAAATAAGACTTTACGGGTATTATGCTTCGAGTCAAAAAATCTCCACATAACTATGTATATCTTTTGGAATCATCCCTCACAATCAAATTTTCCGAAAATGGCCTTGATGTTATCTAAGGAGACAGCCCAGCGCCCCCCCAGACCCCACGAAAACGCGAAGTCCTTAGATGTGGTATTGGTCGAATACGGACCGAAGCCATCACAACCTCATCCTGTCCCCACGAATTCTCAAGGCACTGTGTTATCGGTATTCCGTAGGGTACGAGTTGGGTACAAGTCGGTTACAGGTGTGTAGTATGGTGGTGATTCCTAAGATTAGGAGGTATAAAGTCAGCGTTAGGTATAGTGTTCACAGAAGAGGTAAAGGTAAAATAAGTAATAGGTGAGGATGGTAAATTAACGGCGGTATTCTTTAGAGAAGAGATAAGTATGTGAACAATAGGTATGAGTATAAACAGAAGACGTTGCGTGAAGTAGAATACTCCTTCACGCTGGGTATATATGTACATCGGATAATAGGGCAGCCCTAAGCTCTGCCTCGAACAGTATTACTACACAATCTGTTTGGATTAGGTTGTAGTTGGCAATTCTTAACCTAATTGTGTTAGATTGCAGGCTTCTGTCTTAGGTATTCATGGGTTCGTAATTAAGGTTATTGGTAAGGTTTAGCTTCGGTTATCTCACTGATCACCGAGCCAGCAGCGTATCAAGGAGACATTTAGCTCAGGTGGAAGTATTGCAGGGTAAACTATATCTGATGCTGCTACATATTGTAGTAGCTAAAAGAATACTGCTATTCGGAAACTACAGCTACATCCCAGAACCATGAGATAAATCAGGCTATGCACGCTAGATTTACAATGGCTTACGGATATGGTGAATATGGGGGTAAATACATAGATATATAAAGACATTATAGCCTCTAAATTGTAGGACAAGTCTTCAACCAAATTATATCGGAATCAATCCTAGCCTCTCATTAAGCAATCTCATGAATCTATTTCCGTGTCTGTGATAACAGACCAATATACAAAGTCGACGATCAAGTTCAAAGTCGATTAAAACCTCCTCCAATGATCGCTGTTCTTGAAGGTTTCAAGTCTCAGAGTGGCTCTTAGTTTGATCTGGGCTTCCGCTAAAGATAGACGAACGTCGCACCTTCGAAAAGAATTACTGCGAGGCCAGTGTGACGGAAACCAAGTTGGTGATGAATAAATCGACTTAATAAACTATATGAGGAGAAAAGCTAACTCTAGCTACTACTAACAGGTATTTATAGGAGTTAATCCTCCTCGTGAATCTACAGACTAGTGACTTGTCCTCAGGCTCAATACTTCTACCCAGCCACGTATTTCCAGGTGTCACTAAGTTGTAATGACGCTTCAGCCTCCTGAGTAGTAGTGCCGTTTTGTTCAGCTTCATCTCCACCCCCATACAGCCTCATTGTAAGGATTCTTAGTATCCGGCTTAGGTATCCACCTAAGCTCAAACAACGGTCAAACCGTAACATTACCCCCCCGTTTACCCTCTCCTCTTCTCTTTCCTTAATGCTGGCCCATTATTTGTCTCTGCAGAACCCCACTTTTTCTCCCAAACGTCTAGAGCTACAGCATCTTGCAAATTTATCAGTGATGTCCACTCTGGCTGTGCCATTCCAGTCCACTTCACTAAAGCCTGTCGCTCCCCCTTTTTTGTTCTGCACCTAAGCACTTCGTCAATCTGGTACTCTTCTTCGCCATCATCACTAGTGATTGGTCCTGGGTTTTCATCTTCTAGTATTTGTGAAGGCAACGGATTTTCTTCTGCAGGTATGAGCAAATCCACATGAAATTTATTATGAACTTTTCCCGGTATATTCAGTTGCACTACCTCAGGCGAAATTATTTTTGTGACAGTATACTTCGCATGCTGCCAGCCTAATTTTTTGGAAGGTTGATCTTCCAATCTAATATTCCGTAAAAGGAGCCAAACTTTATCACCGATTTCGTACCTTGGTGCTGGCTGTCTCTTCTTATCTGTCAAATCTTTATATCGTTCCTGAATGGCTGCCATGGCAGATTGCATAAAAATGGTGACCTTTTCTAACCTTTCGACAAATTGTTCAGCCCTTTCTTTTCCTGTAGATGCTGGAATGATTGACTGATTAGTAACAATTTGGATGGGGTTCACATGATATCCGTGTGTCGCAAAAAATGGACTTATGCCGCCTAAGGATACAACATCTCGATTATTTATAGCAATTTGAGCAGCAGCAAGTGAATCAGACCAATCATGTTGGGTGTAGGAAATATATGCTCGCAGGTATGTTTG